AACACTCCTTCATTAATGGATGGAACTGTTCCGGATTGCAGCTCCACCCTTTTCCCCCTCAGCCAATAGAGGACTAGGAAACTACTTTTGAAAAAAACTATAATTACACTCGGACAAAATCGTGATGCAAAGATACATAACAGTGTGGGCGAGCACTGACGTCCAGTCTGAGAAAACATCTGAAGGCAAAAAAATAGCACCCTATAATCATTGAGGAAATAAATGTTTTATGCGTGAATTCTCCTTCAAACACCACCCTATATTCACATAAGCAGTTGGAAAGTATTGTCAAGGCAAGGAGGCAAGTGTCATGTCTGCTGAAAGATTCAGTATGAACAGGTTAACACATTCAGAAAATACTTTTACATTTCCACGATAGTGCTGTGTCACAATATAACATAACACAACATAGACTCTGGGACAGTAGAGTATTCTTTACCCCTCTTCACTTTTAAAACTCTCCCTGTCTGACCACCTCTTTTCACATTTGTTCAGAAAGTATTCATTCCTAGCCCCCTATAGGAACGTGTGCCATGTTCACCCCGGGGTATTTGTTGTTCTTTTCCCGGTGGTCTGACAGAGATGACTGTCTTCGTGAAGTGCCTGCTATTCATCACCAGAGGAAACACAGCTTCAGTGTGAGAGTGCTCTGACTCAGAGGCACTCCTCCACCAAGATGTGCTTAAACTATATTATTTTTCCTAGATACACATTAGATACACAAAGCTCCATGCTATATCTGCAATGTCAGGCTCTCTAAAGTTCAGGTGGGGTGGATGGCATGTTAACAGATGTAATTGGACTAGTTTTTATTAAACACATTTACTTACATTTTCTGCCACTAAGATTGCATTGCACTTTCATGAATTAATGTTGGAGGATGATGTTTCTGAGTTACTCAAGGAATGTGAATGTTGAGTAGGCTCGAAGAATAATCACTAAACAAATCACAAGTTACATTTATTTGTCACAAACTGTCCACAATCATGTGCTAAGGAAGAGCATGTGACAATCAAAGCCTGCAGAATGGTGACGGTTTGGTAAGCTGATTTTATAAATCACCTTTTAGGGTCAAGGAATTACAATTTAATAATAAATTAAATAGTGATTAACTACAGTAATATATTGGGTAAGCTGAACAACCCTTGCTTAATTAAATATCAGCTCATTAGTGTCACTTTATTCATGCAGTCTATTGTGTAAAACGATCAAGATTACACTCGCTGTGTATGAGAAAATAAACTGATTCTAATGCTAAACATTCTTGTGATTCTTTTAGCATGAATATTATCTGGCATCAATTTGTATATCTCAGCTTGAAACATGATCATTATCTGAGAGGATGTATTATTATAACTTGTTTAAGCCTGTATGTGTCAATCAAACACACAATACGCCAGCCTGGAAACAGTTGTCTTCTCTTTTCTCTATCCTTGCATGCACAACATTCTGCTTTGCCCTTTGAATTTCTTTTTCTTTTTTTTTCTTGTTGTGAGAAAAACCGAGAACAGCAGATGCAGGTGTTGCTGTGTCAAAACAAAATGATTCTGCACTGAAGTGAATTGGGACAGAGAAGCAGCGAGTTCTTGTCTTTGTTTCAAGGACAGAATGCTAACCCTGAAACGCTCAGGTGCACCGGTGGAAAAAAAGGAGGATAAACTAAACAAACTGGTCACACATCAGTCTGCAGAGGAATGATGACGGTGAGATAGAAATATTGAGGAATACAGATTAGAGCAGAAATGCAGTAATTCCACATCCAGGTAAACACATACTGTATCGGGCATCCAAATTATTTGTGTGGGCCTGAAGCTTACTACTAAGCCTGAGTTCAAAGCCATCCTAGATTACCTGAAGGAATGATGATGATCATGATGGTGGAGGCTGCTGACCCTGGGGACTCATGACTTTATAACTCCCCTCATTAAGTCTTCAGTTAAGACCCTAAACACTGTTGGCAGAATTGAAAACAGCTTGCATGCTATTCCTGGGGGCAGAAATCTCATTTTTTGGTTGTACAGTCAACAGGGTGCAGTGCGTGTTAGCACAGCTAATATTGGGTTTATTTTTGTTGTTTTCTTTATAAATCTTGATCTAGGATTTCTTGATGCCATTCATTTTACCCTGAAATATCTCAAATATCTTGCTGGTGAACTTAAGACCTTGCGAAGCTTGTCAGCTGCTTGCAAGGTGCGAACATGACGTTCAGAAGTGTTGGGAACGTCTAGTACAGCCTGAAGCCCACAGCTGCTTAGGTTACTGGTGTAATCTGTGTGGGAAGGCCTGTGGGACTTGCACGATAACTGCATTCTGAAATCACAGATATGGATGTATGCAGAAAGTAGATTCATATGTGCAAAATCTGACACCCCCTAACTCTATGTTATTCCCAGATATGGACACATTTCCTCTCATCAAACAACATTAGGAGATGACAGCAACATCTTGCACCAATAAAAGCAGTCAGCAAAACCCATTCCTGGAAACCGTCCTCTTCTGAATAATGTATTCTCTCCGTGTTCTTGAGTTAGGAATAAAACTAACCATGATTTCTACCAGGGACACATATCAGTCTGTTAGGAAATTGGGGGTAAAATTATAACAGTGGTGGGTGCCATTTAGCAGCAGGAGGGCTGCAGATAACTGTAAAGGACCTTGAGGGGGATAGGAAAAAACTAGAGGCCATTGAAGAAATCCAATACAAAAACACTGAGGTGAGGGGGTGAGGAATTTGACCTGAACATAAAAACAATGAATCTACTGACTTACCCCCATAAACCTGAGTGGATGCTACGTATTAAACATATATTTAAATATATGTCTTAAAAAAAGGGGGCCCTGTTGTGCTCATTTTGAGGTTCATATTTGTGTATATTTTGTGTTTCTACTGTGACATTTACGTGTCTCATGCTGCCTGTGCTGCAGCACCTCTTTTCACCCTCCGTCTGAAACCAGAGCCCAGTCTGATCTGATTGGTTAACTGGACGGCTCTGTTGTGATTGGTCAACCGCTTAGAGATGTCCCACATTTACAATGTGTTGGAGCGCTAGCCAATAAAAGCATGAGTGTAACATATATAGTGATGTCATTATGTTACATAATTAAGCAAAGGAGTCCAATGGAGGCGTTTCAGGGGGGGGGGTGGGGGGATGTGTGAGAGAGAAACTCACAAAAACCTATATTACACACTACAGGAAAGGGAAAACCCCAAAAGCATAATAGGGCCCCTTTAATAAAAAGTGATAGACTTTTGCAAGATCCCATGAGGAGACAAACTGAATAATGCAAATTCAGATTGTTATTACAAATCTTGAGTGAGGATGCTTACTTCCAATGTGTTAACAGTGTTAGTTATATATTTCGAATATGATTCTAACCACCGGTCCAGCGTGCATGCATGTGTCAAACAGAACACACCCCTCTTAGGTCTCAAAGGAAACAGAAACCCTGAACAACCAATAGAAACTCACAGAAATACTCATTAAAGGTGCATCTAAATCTATTACCATCAACCAAAATAAACCATGGGCCTTGCTGCTTCACTGCTTGTAAGGTGCTTTTAATTTAAATCATAGCACCGACAGTGCAGTCACCCTCCTTCTGAGTCACCATCAATATCTGCACAACAAATCAGAAGTGTCAGATTATTTCCCCGTGACATATCATCTCCTGAAATGGAAAACAGATATATATTCCAAACTAATGGTTCACCTGGGTTCAAATGCAGAGAGTTACTATTGGTGCCACTTTATGTTTTGATCAGATATGCTTCTGAAAAAAAGAATTATAGCTTTCAGCAGATATACAACTATTTATGAGCAGGGAGGCAGATCTCTTCGGATTATATTTCGCTACATCTGGCAGAGCATTTCCCCGTAAATCTGTAATTTCTCTTTCAGGAATATCTGATGTAATGTATACCTGCTAACACACTGCTGTCATCTAGCTACTCTATAGATGTCTCACATCGTTCATGCGGGGGCAAGAAACAAATAGTTTTTCTACAAGGTGACCCCTGGGAAGTTTTAAAATCGACTTTGAATCATGGTTTTACTGTATATTTAGACAAGCACTCTGGAGCTGTTGAAAGCTCCCTCCTTCCCAGCCATCCTCCCCTCTCTTTCCTCTTCACACTTGTACTTATCCCCTGTACAACAACCACTCTCAGACCGCAGCTTACTCAGACTGTTGACAGACATCTGAGGAATTAATCCCCAAATGGACTTGTCAGCTCCTATATCTGTCTCACCTGATATTACCAAAACAAGATGAAATATAGATCATTTAAAACTTGTGTATATTAGTCTACCAAAGCTCCTTAAATGCATATTCATTCCGCATCGCTGTCATTTGTTACATGTTATTCCCCAGGAGGAAAAATTAAGAACATTGTAAAGTTGCATACAACTGCAACTCCTGACAATTATGGGGTTATTATGACATATACTAAAACGTTGCATAACCGTAACAAAAGTAGAGTAGTCAGTGAACTGACTAACAGCTGTTCTCTCCCACACACTCCCCCCCTGCCTGAAGCATCCATTGGACTTCTTTGTTTACTTCTGTAACATAGTGAAATCACTATGTAACACACGCGCTTCCATTGGCTAGCGCTCCAACACATTGTACATGATAGGCTAAGGGGTGGGACATCTATAAGCGGTTCACCAATCACAACAGAGCTTGCAAGCTAACCAATCAGAGCAGACTTGGCTCTGGTTTCAGACAGAGGGTGAAAAGAAGTGCTGCAGCACAGGCAGTATGAGAAAAATAAAGAGCTTTTATAACATCAAAGCATGTACACATGTCACAGTAGAGGCACAAAATAAAAATATGAAACCATGCACAGAGACAGACACTAGATCAGATCAACAAAACAAATATCAGGTCACAAACCAGCTTGTAATGATGGTAGAAGGTGTGTAATCACAATAAAGCAAGAACCTAATGATCCGAGACTGGATTTAAAATGATGACAGCAGGCATGGCATGTATTAGGCATTTTATTTCCTTCCGATCATTGCTTATCTGACCTCATACATAAATCATGCTTTTCATATGGCAGCAGCAACCCCTGCTTATACAATCTATGTAGATATGGCATACACATAAATAAATGTATTCACAGAACGGGAAATGTGTTTCCAGACGGTTCATTTTAAGGTGATACTGAAAAGTAATTCATGATGATTTATGGTCAAAATATTTACATTCACATAAAGAAAAAGTAAAATAAATATTTGCATATGAAATTAAGCATATATGACACTTTTTACTTTGTTACACTTCGATACATGTTCAATTACATGGAACATTTGTAAAATAAAATAAAAATACACTTAAATATCATAATAATCCCTTCATTTTTGACACCTGAGAACTGTATTTGCTGAACTCAATTCTGACATTCACATAAGAAGTGCATTTATCCGTTGCAACTGTCAGTAAGACACATCATGTTTACATCCCTGTGTCTTTAAAGATAATTCTGACTTGTATAGAAGCATATTTAGACCGTGAAATTCCCTTTTGCTGAAGTGTTCACATTTTCACGTACATGTACAGTAAGGCACTGAAATAGCACCAAAAAAGCTTGTGAAAGCAATTATGGCTTCTTGATCAGTTGTACACAAGTATGTCTAAAATATCTACCATAGACAGTGAAGTAAGGAAGCCCTGAGAAATCTGTTAATCAATTTTCTAAGCCTGATCTAAATGATTTTTAGCACCTTAAACAGGTACAAAAAAAGGTTCTTCAAAGGTCATCATGCTAAATGTTCTTAATCCACCCTCACCCATATGTGATGATAAGGTAACTTGCCTCTCAGGGCTTCCATATAAAAAGACTTAGCGACTAATTTATGTTCATTGTATCTTCTCGACTGTCTAAATTCTTTCTGTGTCCTTTAATTGTTCAGCTAACATTTATAAAATCAGCTCACAAAACTGCATAAACCTGGTTAAAGAGATACGAAAAAACATTTATATACAGAAAAAGTACCCTGATATTGTCAGATAAACAACACGTGAGAATGCTCAGTCGCATATCAGTATGTACAGTTTAAACAGACTCTTAAAAACAAAGACGGAGGGAAGAATGTGAGGTATGGAAGGCAATGGTTTACAGGCAGCATCTGGACAGAGGTTTCGCTGCGGGGCCTGCGGGCTCAGCTGTTTCTGAGGTGTCTCCAGGGCCGACCAGTGCATTATACCTCTGGAGTATCTACTGGAAACTCTCCTGATAAGATAACCTGTCTGCTCTGTGGAAGCTAAAGGCTAATGGCTCTCCCCGGTCACTGCACGCTATACCTGAGAGATATGCACCAACACAGAGGAATGTGGTTCTCTCTGATGTCTGGCAGCAGAATCTCTACAGATCTTGTAACCTACAACCTTCTCCTTATGATCCAGTAATGTGTTTGTGTGCGTACAGTGTGTTTGTGTACTGGTAAACATCTCTCTTACTCCCTAGCTCTCGCCTGTAAATCCCAACCCTTTCTCGACATACACACACTTCATTCGAGAAACATACGTTATTATTATATCCTTCAACGACTCCTGCTGTCCTCCCACTGCCAAGAGGTTGCAGCTGTGATAGTTTACAACTGAATGAATCTGAATCAAGACATAATCAGAATGATACTGATGCTAATGTTTGGATAGCAGGAAGGTTCATTCATTCTATCCTACTGAAAAATAGAATACACACTATGCCATTAATGAGCAGAAAACTGTTCCATCCTACATCCTCAATTTAAAAAGGCACAATGAGTAGAATTTTCCTCAGAAAACCAAGTGGTTTGCGTCTCCAAAAACCCTCTGCTTGTATTTTCTTGTATATTCTTGTATCTTATAATTTAGTTGTGTTTGGGACGGTTCTGGTTTGCCAGACGGATAGCACGCCACATCGCTAAAAGAAACTACAAAAATGTCAGACACAGCGCTGAATAAAAGTGAATATAGCACTGGCAACACCAAGCAGAAAAAATAACTCAATTGAACTCTTCCCCCCGCATTCATTAAAACTAAAATTCCGGTTTTAATACGTGTTTTTTCCGGATGCAGGTGTGTTTTTCATGACAGCAACACCTGGCCTTTTCCTGCAGTGTGTTATTATTTATTGCACTTTTCTCTTTCCGTCCAGCTGCAGTTAACAGCTGGAGAGATACAGATGGGGCAGCCGGACCACCATATACCCACTTTTTAATATACTAGACTACAGAAACAAAACCTGAGTACAGGGATAAGAAGAGTGCTCAGTTAGCAAGACACTGAATGTTGTACGCTGCCACAGAGTAGAGTAGTGGAAGTAGCTGGACGATTTTAGCAACAGTTGCCCACAATTTACACCTGGAAGGATTGCTGAACATACGGTTAACATCAGACTATGAAAATTAACTTCCTCGATTCCTCTACAAGAACTGCCCCATTGCACACAGTGTACAACATAACTATGGTTATAGTATACACCAATCTGGCCTGAAGTAGTGAAAAACGACCCACTGGAGACACCTCAATGGATATGAACAGGTCTGGTGACCATCACAACAATAACGTTACAGAACCTAATTAAAAAAGGAGTACATGGCTGTACCAGATGAAGTCTGGTTTAAATAACTACTCGTACTAAAAAGTCCAATTGGCAAATATCCAAATTGGAAGGCACATTCTGGCGAAAAACTGATAAATGGCAACTGTGTGGTATTTACTAAGGACGGTTCAATCATATTACAGTACAAAAATAAATTGAGAGTACAATAAATAAGACATTTGTATCCTGCTATGTACAGTACTTACACCAAGTTCATTTACACTATACATACTGGAGAAAAAGAGGTCAGGGCGGGTTTGGACTCTGAATGGCTGTAGCACCAAAGAGGAGGGAAGTCTCGACACAATAAGAACCTGAAGATGGACGGCCAAATGGAGGAAACAGATGCTAAAAAAGACATGCAAACAACATTAACGCTAAATCAGTTACTGATCAAAAACCCAAGGAAATACTTCAACCCTGGAGTTAAACACACAACCATTCGTTATTAACCATATAAGTTACAGGTGTATTCAATAATGTTGATGGCTAAAAACATAAGCCTGGTTTATTCCAAGTATTATGGTTCTCAGGCAACCGATATGATCATTAAAACATTAAAAACATAAATACTACGTCAAATGTGAGTTACAGCAAGTTGCGTAACGTGTTTTTAATTTTGGTGATAGATTTTAAGTCCCTCCTTTTTTTGGATTACAGATTGTGCCTTTTATATTTAAAAAGTATAATTAAAATACCTACCTCATGTGTTTGATGGTATTACAGTAGATCTACTCCACTGTTACAGGCAGGCTGGAGCCAGAGGACGGTGTACATTTACCGCAGTAGCCTCCACACATTCCTGACACGCTGCTGCCATCCTGTGGACACATGGGGAATAACATCAGGATTGTGTGATTCTGCTGTAATACAGATGCTGATTATGAGAACAAAACAAATACTAAATATATAGAACATAGCATAGAACCATAAGGGAAATGTCTCCAGGATCACGTTGAAGCATTTTCCCCTGTCACTGATCTTTAGGTGTAAAACAGAGGATGTTTAAGAAGTGGGTAAAGATAGAAAACATCACCTTAATAGGTAGCATTGTTTTTGGCCTCTTAAATTTGAATTTCCTTCATAAATGCACACAAACACTGAGGCCCACCAGGCACGTTGTATGTAGGCACTGTGTATAAACTAGGTAATCACGTACAGCATAATGGATATTTTGTCCAAACATTGCATTAGATCAGGGATGGGCAACTTGGATGGTGGTGGGGGCCACATAATGTATGTACTGGCCACCAGGGGGCCGCAGATTCACTTGGAACACACACACACACACACACACACACACAAATTGCATCTTCATTGACATTTTACAATCTTTCAGGGAACATCCTCTAATAAGCTCACTAAACAAATATCAGTTCACAGAAATGTTATTTAATTTTTACAAGTGGCATGTTTGTATTGAACAGGTTATTTAACAGTGGAATAAAACTATTTTAAACTATTGGAAAGCACGGAAAATGTGTGTGCATTGAGATTAACCATTAAGATGACATGAACATGAAGTCATGAACACTAACCCAGACATTAGTTGTCTAACTTGAACCTAGCTAAAACACTTGTAGCCTGTCTCTGCTGACTTACAATAAGGGGAATGTCAACACAGACACCTGTCAACCCGCACTCTGCTGTTCCTCAGCGCCGCTCCCCCTCCCTCCCGATGAAATTATGAATGTAAGGCGTATAGTAATCATAGATAACACGGCAGGGTCCGTGACAGTTTGTTTTCATCTGATTTCAAATAAACAAAGTCTTGGTTTTTAGAATATTAAACTTGTTTTGCCAAATTCAGATGATAAATACAACTTTTAAGCTTGTAAAGGCATAATTACAAGCGGTAACTTAACGTCACAGCAGGCATAACAACAGCCGGTGTTTCTTGTGAGTGTTTCCCCGGGAAACAAACACAATACACACAAACGCGTCACAGATTATTTCACGGTATTTGGCTGCCGAACGAAATCATGTACGCAGCTCGCGACGTAACTAGGAGTCTAGTGGACGGTATCAGTACTACAAGTACTTTCCTTTTTTTCTAAACGCGAAAAGTACGGTGAAAAGTACTCCGGTGTGAACGCGCCTATTGTTTATAAATTAATATGAGGGCCGCAAAAAGAGGATTTTTTTTTAGGATGGGCGCCATTTGCCCATCCCTGCATTAGATGATCGTGCCAAAAGCACTATCCCACGACATGAAAGCCACAGCGTGCAGCGAGTGGTTTGTCTGATCTCCTCTGGAGTGCTCTCCCAGTCCCACTGTCACAACCTGGCTTTGTTTAAATCTGCCTGGAGAGCCCACAGCAGGCCGGCTGGCTGAGGGTATAAGAATGTGAACACTTTTTGGCATCAGAATTGCCTCATGTTTTCACCTTACCAATATACTCTCTCTGGCTTGAGCTCCATCTCAAAAGAGGAGGGCCCTTGAGAGAGCAGCTGCCCAAAAAGGGTCCTTTTTTCAACGAGTTTATTGAAAGAAGTCGAGCTGGGAATACAGAACCCACTTGGGACGATGCCCACCCTGAAGCCCAGAGGACATGCAGAGAGGAGAAATGGTGGAGCGAGGGATGGAGTATCAGAGGTAACAGAACAGAGTAGACGAGATGAGGCAGTAAATAGAGAGAGTTACAGATACTGCGGGTTGGAAAATGGGTTCTAAAAGAGTTGCTAGAGGATATAGAACAAAAATAAATTGTAAAAACTAACTCACTAATTACAGAATATAATCAAATATACATTTAAACTGTTGTAAAAAGCCAGAGGCCCAATACCTCACTGTGAATGTTGTGAATTAATTAGGGATTTTAATGAGTTTTATTTTGAGTTCTCGTTTTTAAAGGGTGTTCTCTGAATCTTTCAGATGGCTCAGTTTTGATTGAAGATTGCTGTCATTTTGGGAGTTTTTCCCATAGACAGTGTACATATGCATCATAATGCCAATACCTGTGATTTTCGTATATCAGTCACTGCATAGTTGCCCTGGGAGATCCATGAGGTTTCCTTTGCCACCCTGAAACCTGTTCCTGAGAGGTTGATCCTGAAGCGCCCCTGACAGAAGAGAGAGAGAGAGAAGGATTAGATATCCCGGAGAAATGTATGAAAAAAACATGAGAACGTAATTATAAGTAATGATGAATTAGAGTGAGGCAACTGGTAATGTTTTGGGACATTTTCCTGGAACACATCCAAAACTAGAGGCATTAACTGGTTGTAAAAGGATGTTTACTTTTTTAATGGCAGGCATTTTTACATGTCATACTGCGGCAGAAGAAGCACAAGTGTATCAGTAACACAACTGCATGCCATTTAGCTGTACTCAATGCCTTTTAGTACAGCAGACTTTGTTTTATATTCAAATCAACTTTCTCTAATGAATATTTCTCATCATTTTTGTTAGCTTGGTGCTTAAACACCCGCTAAGGTGCTTGCCTCATATTTTCTTGCAAGATTTTGGAGTGCAGTGGAAATGTTGTCCTTTGAAGGGCTTAACGCCAATAAGACATCGATTGGAGCAGAATATTGTATCATAATAAGATTTTATACATTTTTGGAGAAAAAAAACACAGCGGCTTTGGAAGCTTCTTCCAACGCTTCTGCCCATTCACTTTGAATGGGGTGATGTCACTTTTCGCCGAACTGCATTGTGGGAAGCAGAGCGGAGCTTTCCTGGCGTTTCAGGCTGCAAAAGTTGAGCAATGTTCAACTTTTGAAGCTTCTGAAGCTTTCGGTGGAAGCGTCAGCCAATCGAATCATATGCCAGTACAAGCTCTAGCCAATCAAACCGCTGCTTGTGTGTCAGGGGCGGGAGATTCATGTGATTGGTTGTTGGTCAAGCTTCAGACACGCCCGCCGGCAAGCTTTTTCCAAAGCCGCTGTGTGGACGGGCCGTAATACACTTTCTTATGGACAGGGAAGTTATAGGAAATGTCAGGATCACATTGTTGGACATACTTCCAAGAAGCCACAACTGGAACCTCACTCTGCAAAAAGTATAAATACTTTTCATAATTGTGTAGCCTTATCTTAAAATATGCAGAAATAAACCGAATGAGTAGATATAGAAAAATGTTGATAGAGAATGCTCAAAAGTTTTAAATGAAGCTCCAAAGCTGTGATCTATTCAGTTCAGCCTTACACTCAGTATGTCTGTTCACTGGAATAGCTTACTAAAACTCGATAAACAGCGGAGCCATCATTAATGTTATTAGTTTAACTTGTTTTTTTCCTGCTATGACAAGTCTTTAGTTGGTGATGACAAATCATTTCGCCTCCTGTCATATAACTACCAGCTGCTGTTGTTCTCACCTGTGGACAGCGTGCTGCGCTGTAGCAGTCTCCAGCTGTAGCAAAGGGAATGTTCTTGCCTTCCCGGGTGACAGCAAACTGCCAATCTGTAGCTGAGCAACAGAAAAGACAAACAAGTCAATCAAATGTGTCGTGACAGATATTCTTCAGAATTGGCATTTTGTGTGTGTGCTACAGGAACTCCGATGAGCTTTTATAATGGCAGCTTGCATCTGCAGTAATGACCTGTGTTAGTCTAAATCCAGCCTTAGTTTTAGGGTCAGTTTAATGGCAATATCAGTATAATTTCATCTACTTACAGCAGTTCCATTTAATCCCCTCAAGCCTTGTAATTGTGTGTTGCTTAAATGAACCCTAAAGACATCTTGAGCCCATTAACCCTCATGAGCACGGACATAATTAAATGGCAAAGGAAGTTCTTATTTGGGAGTAATGTGGAGTTAACACTGGCACAGGATGCTGTTATATGTGTGTGTGTGTGTGTGTGTGTGTGTGTGTGTGTGTGTGTGTGTGTGTGTGTGTGTGTGTGTGTGTGTGTGTGTGTGTGTACTAGCCACTCACTGATGAGGTTCATCTTGCTGAGGTCCAGGCGGACTTTGGAGAAGGTGGTGAAGCCGGCGGCGGTGTAGTCTCTCCGACAGTCACAATCCTCTCTCCTGGAGTCATTGGGTGGACACTGGGTGGGGTCATTGAGCCTGGGAAACACACACACACACACACACACACACACACACACACACACACACACACACACACACACACACACACACACACACACACACACACACACACACACACACACACACACACACACACACACACACACCCCTTCATTTTACACTTCCATGGAATTTCTTCATTTAGGGACAGGAAACTGTGCCAGGAGTCAGTTGGATGTTGGCTATTCTCATTGTTATCATGTTCACTGTTTACCTGAAGCCAAAGATCTCTGAAAAATTCTCCCCTTCTCCAGTTGTCAAGGTGATGTACTCCTGTGGAGTCTCTGTCTGCATTCCTGCACAGTAGACCTGAAGAGAATAAGATGAGGGCGGAGGAGGGAAAGGAGACGTGGTATTCAGAGGGAGGAGGAGGAGTGGGGAACCATGGGTGAAGGAGGGGATGGAGGTGGTAGGATGGCAGAAAAAAGGAGATTGAGAAGAAGTGCAGATTGGAAAGGAGGAACAATAATGGTGTTGAGGAAAAAGAGTAGACCATAGTCAGTTTGAAAGGCAGTCAAAGCATTTCCTCTGACTGTGTTCTAAAACATATCGCATTACTAAGAAACCTTGTACACAAAACCACAGCACCAAACGTATGCCTAGACTCAAGCTAGTAAAGGTGAATTTAAAGCACTTTGTACTGTAAAGAAGCCCTTTACACAGTCACAACACAGCAGCAAAATGTATTGTAAATTATCCAAAAGTTAAGTGTTGCTCTTCCCTCATAAATAAAACCTATAATAGCTTCATACACCTTTAAAAAAAAAAACTTCAATTATACATTTCAAATTGTGTAATAAGTGTATTTTCAAAAATACAAACATGTCTTTAAGATCTAGATGTTTTCTTCCAAAATGTGCAAACTGTCAAAGATGTGGGGATCCATTGCAACCATGTGCATTTGTTGGTCAAAATAAACAATATATTCCTACCTTGAGTGCTTTTCCTTGAATATTGAGAAAGTGTTCGCTGTCGGGGAGGGGGCCGTTCGTGCTCTGGACGCCCTGACAGCTAGAAGGTAAATGGCCTTGGAGACACAAAGGAAGTGGATATAAGTCGGTATACAGTACAGTAGTGCGAAGATTTAACACAGGGCAGATACTCAGGCCCTATACACACACATGTGCACGCATGCAAACACACATTTCAGGGGTTAAGTCAAGTGTGACAAATCGCTGCATCAAATCAAAGAAAAGGGAAAGCCACTGACTCTTTGATGTCCCATCGTACCGTTGGGAAGTAAATACACTGGATAGTGAATCTTTGATGTTTGCCTCTGATCATAACTATTTCACTAAAGGCCAAGTCTCTGAGATGACTGGATCAAGTCAAGCCATGCCTAACACTGGAATTTGGGGTGCATTTAGTCGGCCTGAACCTAACCCTGGTAGTCTTGACCTTTGTTAAAAGAGGAGCAATCGTCTCGCAGTACTCACAGCTTGGATTCCTGCAGGCTTTTCTGGCCTCTGGCATGGCCTCCTGAGAACACCTATTGCTTTCCTGAGCGTCTGCTGACACACACTGCAGCGTCCGCTCCATCACTCCGTCACCACAGCTCACTGAGCACTGCGGGGGGGAAGAGAACCGGGACAGAGTGAAAACAGAAACTTGTGGATGAGAGTCACATCAGCAGTTTCTATCTTCAAAGTGTCGACTTAAAAACATTCATGTGCACGGACATTTTTGTGCATGACACAGGTTCAAGAAGAAACAATAATGTTATTAGTTTCAGGCAATTTATGGGAAAGAAATCATTGAAATCTTAGGAATAGAAAATAGTGTGCATTAAAGGCTGTTTTATGTAATACAATTGTAGTCGATCATAATCAAGCGCAAATATAAAACTTCAAGGAAAGTGTTAAAGAAAATGTGAGTTTCAATCTAATACTGTTATGTTGATATTAACAGTTAAGCTAAAAAGGTTTGACATTTCATCACAAAAAACTACAGGAGACCTGTTCAACTTGCATTTATTACGTTGCAATAAATCTATGATAACACTTTATTCTTGGGAAATACTTCTCTTTGTACAGGGCAAAGAAGCCCTGAGACAAAAACAAGGAAAAATATCTGGTGAGCATTTCCTTAATTGATTCACCCCTTTGTTTATGACTCTAAAACAGGTGATAACACGTTTTTGAGGTTCCTTATATTCTTTTGAAAGTGTGAAACAGGTGGGAAAAGTAGTAACTTTTTTTTGTACCTGTTAGTCAAGAAAAGTATTTGTATCAGACTCAAAAACATTTTTATAACACTTGCCTCTCAGGGCTTCCGTATCGAGGTTTAATTTTAGGAGAAGACATGCATGTTCCACACTGAAAAGACACAGATAAGTGAATGGACAGCATAACCAAGCCCTCGCTCACCAGTCCCCAGATTCCAACCCTCCACTCCTGTGGCGGCTGGCATGGCTCCAGATTACAAGGCATGTAGCTCTCAGGGGGGGTCCCGGGGCAGTTGGACAGAGACTGATGGCCATACTCATAGTTGTCATTCTCAGCATGCACCTCGCTGCAGGAGACCAGACGCTGGCGGTAGCTCTGACCACAGCTGGCTGAGCACTGGAGAAGAGAATGAATCACAGGCATGAAATAAAAACAGTACACTGGATTTGAAGACGGTGATTCAGATTAATTGTCTTTTTAAAGAGTTAAGTATTGCTAGTTCAGAGTAAACAGATTTATAACTATTCAGATTACAACATCATTTAAAGTTCACACTCTCACCTCAGTCCATTCCCCTGTGATCCAGATCAGTTCACAGGCGTGGGTGCTGCAGCTCTCTATGTCTGGAGGTCTGATCTGGTTCACGCAGTACATCTCATGCACCTCCTGCTGGTTGTGGTCCACACACTGCAAGGCTCGCTGTCGATGACCTGCTCCACACGACTTACTGCACTGTAGTGGAGATGAGAAAGACAAGGGCCTTTAACAAACATGGCAAGTATAAGAGTGTTATTAGGAGAGATATGACATTCCTATACTTAGATGCAATGTAATGCAATGTTAAGAGAGCAGCAGAGATCGGCAGCAGCGGCCCCTCGCCCGCTTAGTAACAGAGCTCATTTATGAATTAAAGGTAAGACAGGGTGATTAACTGACATATGATGTCATTTTGAGGGTGAAGTATTTCTTAAAAGTCAACCTACCTATAATTGGTCATGTCTGGCTGCAAACTACATCATTTTAAAGAGGCCCTATTATTCTTTTGGGGGATTTACCTTTCCTTTTTGTGTTATATAGGTTTTTGTGCATGTGAATGGTCTGCAAAGGCTAAAAGTTCCCTCCAGAGGGAGTTTCTCTCCCACACACTTGAGCTTCTTTAGAAGAGTACTAAGCATTATAATAACATAATCATTCATAAGTCACTACCCAGGTTAAATCGTTTTTATTGGTGTTGCTGTGAAAGTGGTGTTCTCTGAAGAAGTTGACCTTATTGCAGAACCACCTGGACCTTTGTCTTACTACATTCAGGTCCATGTAGTAACTCAATTATTAGGACATTCAATCTGCAAAAGACGTAGGTTGAGGCTCAGAGAGGCTTCCACTTGCGTCAGAAACACTCTGTGCCGTAACAAACGCAGCGGACTCCAGCTGGTCTTCATCACTCTTAATTTGTTCAACAATGTCAAACAACTTAAATACCTGGAACTGTTTTTCTGAGCTGTGCTGCTGTACTATGAAATCATTAACATCGCATGATGAGTGCCTGAGTTTCAGTATGTGCTGGTTAAATCAACGATAGACAAATCATTTGGCCAAATATTTAATTCTAGGTAGGTTAGAATAGAAGAAGTAAAAATGTTGGAGTTCCCAATCATCTCTGATTTGTGTACTGTAGATTGAGTCCACAGTGTATATTGTATAAAACACACACTGCAGGCATGTTAACCCATAGCAGGTGAACCCATGTAATTACCTCCAGCTTTACACTGCAGGCAGAGAGCTCCAAACACTTCTCCAGAATAATTAGACTCTCCTTTGAGAGGAGACATTTCATGCTGCTCAATGACCCAGATTCAACATCACTTGAACACGGGGAAGAAGAAACTCCTGCTGCAGCTGCCTCTTCTAATAACCCCAACTCTCAACAAGGGTCTGTAGCCTCCAGCCAATAGAAAATTACTGGATGTTGCTCAGCAGGAATGTACCCATTAAATAAAGCCTGGGTATGACTGCCAACTTTGCATGTTCTGGCTTTAGAGCAGATAAAAGATAGATAACAGTGTAAATTAATACGTGAGTATGAATACAAATAAAGGATCAATAATAGAGATTCTTAATTATTTTATGTTTACTTGTAAGTGCCTGTGCAGGTGGTCTTATATCAAATTCTTAATATAAAAAATATATAATTGACTGAATCAGCTAACAAAAATTTGGGACGAGAAAAATAAATAAAATAAAATAATTTAAAGAACAAAAACTCAACAAAGCTGCTATACTGTTTAGAGGTGCGATTAAATAGGCAAAACAATGATGCATGAATGAGTCCTAAAACCGAGATATTAGGCAGTTTAACATTTCTCGTTCCCTTGGCTCAATCATTGATGTGTTTTAAGTTGTATGACTGAAACAGGATCTTGTCAGAATTCTGGCATTCATCTCAGAAAACTAAATCACTTTAGGTCTGATTTTTATAGAATAATTATTATAAAAAGTTATTTCAGGGGCCTTTAACTCAACTTTTATTGTAGAAGGCTTGTTAACGTTTAGATAACTACCATTAATGCCTCACAGGTGTTCATTAACTTTAATTAGTGGTGGAATACAGTCTATGGAAAAAGTACTCCTGGAGAAAAAGCGAATTGGCCAATCAAGACTAAGATCGGAAATCCAACGAGGCTTTGCGTGTGTTTAAAAAAAAAAGGATCATCTGATTTTCATGAGGGCCATGCAGCAGCAGCAGCAGCAGCAGCAGCTCCCCTCCTCCTCCTCTCCTCCCCTCACCGACTGCACTGCCTCCGCCTGAAGCAGCCACTCACACTTCAGATAAGACAGAGTTCATTCATCCTCGCCCTGTGGAGACTAAAAGCTGCTTGTTTCAGCTCACAGGTCGCCATGCAGCTTACCGTCTGCCACTCTCCTTCTCTCCACCGGTACCGGGAGGGGCAATCTGCCCCCCGGCAGCTCTGGCTGGACGCCGGTCTGGACCGCTGGGAGCAGCCGCTCTCGTGCGGGCTGCGCCGGTCTCCGCCCCGGCAGAACACCTCGCGCCGCTGGACGCCGTCCCCACACGTTGCGGAACACTGGAAGCAGGACAGATAAGTCGTTTCAAAATCTTTTTTTCATTGAGTTGAACTTTTTTGTTTTACTGCATGTCAAATAGTCAACTTATATAGTTGTGCGACTCTCGCGATAAGCAATGAACCACGTGAGTTTAATTGTCTAATGGTGGCCTATATCCCATTTGTATCGATCTATGGTGTTCTACTTGTTTGAAGATTAATATAGCATGTATTTAACGAAATATACGTCATACTTAATATTTAATCTGCTGTATTGTCCCTCTACTGTTATTTTGTGTCCCTTTATTTGTTCCTAAAGTTATTCAGACATTCTGTCTTTTGTGTCAGCTGTTATAGATTTAAATGAATATTTGTCTGTAATTATTAACTATGAGACCTTGGCATTCCAACAATATAAATTGAGTTCATAAAGGCATGGTGTATTATTTTTAAGAAAGTTTGCAAAGATTAAATAACTGCAACAACACCTTCATGTTTATTTGTAAGTGATATGGTTTATATTAACTTAACTTATGTTTTCTTACAGAAATGGGAAGAAATTCAAGTTGGCGCCTTGAAAGCAGAAGGTTTTGTGAAACCATGTTTTTAATTAAAGTATGTTTTGTTTTCTGCTTTAATACAAGACACAGTTTTACATAACATAACAAATGTCAAAAAACTGTTTTGTTTTATAATAATTATGTTCATGCATTAACCCAATCACATGATGTGAGCAATGCGTAGATCAGATTTGTAGGGGATTTTTAACAGTAATTATCTTGTGTACCTGCATTGTACTGTCATGCTTATGCAATACTCCACTTCAATATTAATTTATACAATTAAAGTGAAGGTTTTTTTGGAGGAAAATGTCACAGAGGATATGACATGAGTGTTTGAGTCATTGAGAGACTGAGACTAGCATCATAACTCAGATTTGTGCAGGTTAAAAATCTTGATGATTTGTATATCATTTACTCCCCCTGTGTAACTATGAATTTTTGAGGAAACTCAAACTCGCATGCTTCCATGATTAATGAAAATCAATGCTTTCTCAAAACATCAGTTTAAAACTCTTGCACAATGTATAATTCATATCTCAATTATGCTGCTCATAACTTACGCATTTTCACTCAAACCTCAATATTTAATACACTTCTGCATGAACAGTCTCACACTTGCACTTGCCTTGTCCGGAGCTTCAGTGAAATAAATGTTTGGGAATATGTTTTTGATTTCAAATTCTGCTCTTGTGAAACACGGCCCAGATTTCTTTAATTGATCATGAATTTCCTTTCGTCTTTGAATTCTTTGTTCACCATGGAGTCATGCGAGAAAGCAAAGTTTCATTCCAGAATTCAAAGTAACACAGGGTGAATACAAAATATTATTTTGCGGGTAAAGTATTCCTTTAGGGGTGAAGGAAGCAAAAAACACGTGCAGATGATTCAAGCTGAGGTTCCAGAGTTTCTACATGAATCTTTAAGAATACAGACATAGTATATCTTAACTTATTATCTTATACTTACAAGTTTAGTCATTTGTGATACAGTTTAACTTCAGGAGTTGAAACATCTGGGCAGCCTGCTGCATCATGGGTAAACATACTTGACTGGGAGTGTGTTCGATATTGCATATTGACATACTGCATACTTATTATTGTGTACTGCGTATTGCATGCTAAAATGACTATTAAGTATGCCATTCCAGCAGACTGTGCACACTGTTATAAACTCAAGCAACATGTCGTCTCTGACTGTATCCATCACAACCTTAATAGTCCAAGCTACCATCAAACAAAAATGTTTATCACAAATGTAAATCTACTTTATTCTACATTTTCCAGTATTATTTTATTAATATTTAAAAAATATCAAACATGTTGAAGATGTTTCTACACAAAATGAAATGTGCGAGTTCCTGTGTTTTCCACATTTGTAAGCACACACACTGTTGCTGGATGGTGCCAAACAATCTGCCTCAAAGTTTAAACAGGCGCAATGCATTTTGGGTCATTTGAGTAAGTAGGCTCACGCCCCATAAATCCTTTCTTATCTAGTTTAAACCTGGGCATTTCTTGCATACTCAAAATCTACAGAGTATGCAGTTGTGGACTATCTACTCAAATTTACATCATACTTAGTATGAATAGTATGTAAGCGTCTGATTTCAACAGAGCCTCGTGTGGAGTATCATTTTCTCCTGGCATGAGTCCTGCTCCACAGCTGTTTCAGAGCAAACTCACATCCTCTTTGACATGTGGAGCACAGATGTGGCTCTGTGCTCGGACTCTTGGCTAGTGGGGTGAATTCAGCAAAAAAATGACAGGAGGGAAGGACGGAGAGAAAAAAGAGACATGGAGAGTTAAGGGAGAGGAAGAAAAATGCTCTGCAGCAGCCCAGGTGCACGTCGTGAGTGTGTCTGGCATGTTTAGTAGGGCATTCAAAGAAAAGACGCATGTGGTTCCCATTGGGGAGGCAGAAGATAGAGAGGGAAAGAAAAGTGAAAGAGAGAAAGAAGGCTTGAAAGAAAGGGATCTGTGGGGGAAAGAGCAACATTGAGAGAAGGATTAAATAGAAAAGAACATGTCGAGATGAGAGGGGTAGAACAACACTAGATGGACCTACAGAGGGGTGCACATCCATCCTGCTGTCGTACCCTCTGTACTGTAAAGTTGCTGCCCCAGTATACACTATCTTTAAAAACCCTATTAGCAGGCACCCCGGGTCTGTGCTGCAAACCACTGTGTGATGTGTAAAAGCTTAGTTAGTGGTCTGGCATGGTGCATAAACACAGTCGGGTCTAGCTGCAGATGTTTACACACATATACTTTCCAGCAAGCTGGTAAGCATTAAAGAGAAAAGAGAGAGAGCTTACTGGCCTGGCAGCGTGAGAACACGAGTGCTAGAGGAGTGTTTTCTAGCAGGGTCAAAGAGTCCTACCTCTCCCCAGTTGCCTGTCTTCCACTTGAAGCATTGACCACCTTTGCAGCGCCTCTGCTTGCTGGGTTTGGGGGACAGATGCTGGCAGCTCTCTTCTGAAACGGGGCGTCCTGACCCGGTCACACAGACCACCTTCCGGGACTTGAACCCTCTTCCACAGGAGGAGGAGCACTGCAACAGGTCAAAAGAAAGAACAAGTGAAATTGAAGTCAAAAGGTACGTTTGGTGTTCAAAGTGCAACTTTAAAAAATAAATTCAGATGTTAAAAAGCATGATTGGGTTTCATAAGTCTGAATAAGAATGAAAAAAAAGGAGATTATTGCACAGCTTTGATTAAAAAACATGCATTTATTGAACACGATCAATTTGTGGATGATTTTTAGACTGAAAAAAAGGAGTGATATGACACCCAGATCCACGTGGGTAGCTAGTCCAATGGCAAAGCGTGCCCGATCAACCCGGTAGCAGTTTGTTTCATATCCGGGTTCACCGAGTTACTGAGAGTCTAACACGGTGTGACAGGCAGACACACACACACACACACCAATGTTACAGGAGGGAGTGGAGGAGCTGGCCTGTGCTCGATCAAAGGGGGCTTTGCATGAGGGGATGGATGGGAAGCGACAGTCTCAGAGTTAAACGAGTATGCGACCCAGCGTGTGGTTGCTGTCCTGACCAGTGACAGACTGTAATAGACAGGAAAATGCTGTGACCTCTGACCTCATTCGCGGCGGGCAAGGCACACTAAAGGAGGGGCTAATAAAATGCTTGGAATTTCATTTGTAACGCACTACATTTATAAGAATTACACATTTGTAAGTGCTGTCAGTTAATACAAATGTATGATTCAGCTCACAATGAGAAATTCGTCATATTACCGGTGTGAATTTTACTCGGGTATTGTTGTGAATCAGTTTTAATAAAATATTACACTGACTGTGTTGCCTTTATATCTTTAAAACAGCACTCTCATTATGAATTGTAGCACACATGACTAGAAGACTTCCCGGTTGATGTAATAAGTCACTTATAGTCCTCCTAATATGTATCCCCACTGAAAGATTGTATTTTTGATGTCTGACATATAAGGAAACACGTTTGGTTCGGATGAAATAAAGTAAATGGCAAATCACAGGTGCATTTCAGAAAACGTCACTAAATGTAAGACTTGACCAGGCTGTGTTTTTGTTCACGTCAGGTATTTCTTTTAAAGGTTTGTATACTTTTTTTTTTACAAGGGCTTTCCTGCTGTTCTAATGTGCTAAGATGGAGCAGAAAACCTTGAGAACCACTACAAATGAGTCAAATAAAACACCATGTTGGAGATGCACTCCTACACACAGGGTTCATTAACTTTGCCCAACTCAACATTTCCTACCTGCAATAAACTATATAAACAACTTTATTTGTGGACTTTTTATTAGCAGGAGGTAGAGCAGGTCCTCTACTCATCACAAGGATGGAAGTTTGATCCCTTTCTCGTTCTGTACACAAGTCATTAACCATAGCGCTACATTTCATTTCAACAGTGTCAATCACTAGTTTGATCGGTCATTCTTCAATCCATGGAATTGCAGATACAACATTTAAATTAAGGTATAAAGCGGCAAAGCATTGGTAAGCACCTTGTAAAATGACCCCCGCCCCCCCCCCCTAAATAAACCACTATTCAATGTCAGCACAGCGTTTGGGAATCCTATTCAACTCTTGTTTTGTTGGGTTTTTTCATCCCGGGATCACAGCAGTTTCCCAGAACTATGTCTGTGCTGATGGGATGAACCGGGAAGGGGCCCCTCCCCAGATCAAACGTGACCCTTGACCCACCAATACACCACTGCATTGTCTTGTTGACAGCCCCCCCTCCTCGTTTGAGTCACTCTCACTGGCCCCCATATTGGTACACCGTCATCAAGTTGCATTAGACCATAGACGAGCAGCCCGACAGAAAGGGTCAACTTCACAGCGGAGCACGCGTCACCAGGCGTCCCAGAATAAGCCGGGGGTCAGCATTAAGAATTAAATAAACACAGTAAATGAAATGGGAGGCATTGTCTCACAGGACAAAGATTCACCTTATAGAAAGAGCTTTGAACTCCTGACACAGACGCTAAAAGCATGATGGCTTTCAAGAGGTCAGCAGAGGCCCTGACCACTTAAAATAACAAGGATATTGCTCAGTGATTTGTGCATTTTCATTCAGGAAAAACACCCCTGTTGAAAAGACTGGCAGGGGAGGACTGCCTAATAAGCTTTTTGCCAGGCCTCTCTTTTGAAATCTTTTAGTCAAAGTCAAAAGGTAAAACCCCAAATAATATAGGACACTTCCTTATCCACAAACACACTGTAATTACCATGAAGCAGGAGCTGGTAATCTTGAGTTAAATACTTCATTATAGGGCTCAGAAACAGAACTACAATGTTGCAAGAGCGAGGTTATTGGCATGATGAATGTTGTTAAGGGTTAGTACTTATAGTACTTGCAGTTTTCACTTTTTTGTAAAAACTCTGTGCCAGAGTTTGCAGGTTATTTTTATCTAGCAGAGAGACCTGTTTACTGAATGTGACAAAAATGTTGGCATTGATTCATATTTTTGCTCCACTAATTCTTCCAAATTCACAGCTTAAATATTGAACTAACTGTGTACCAGTACTGTACATACATTTCAATACATACACACAGGTACAAGTTAAACACATATGAAGAGAAATAAGGGGCCAGAAATCTGGGAACTTATAAAAGTACAATGTAAACTGTAGGTATTTTAGCTTTAGTAATATTACAGCGTACATTAGCCTGACCATCCTTGAGTGCCACACACTAACGCTGTGTCTCAATGGGATACTCTTGTTAGCACACTTCCATGTCGTACACTGTGAGCAGTGTGTTAACTTTGACCATGTAGTGTTGTTTTCAATTGCACAGGGCTGCTGTGCCCTTACCGAAAGTGACTCGCAATGCTGTCGGCTAGCTAGCTAGTTCTACGAGCTACAGTAGCAAGTAGTACAAGCTACTGTGTTGACCAGAGAAAGCCCCAGCGCGGCTAGTAGTGTAACTTCTGTTACGTAGCAAAGATGGCTGTCGTTGAGAGTGAAAGCGTCCAGCATTCCACACTTCCACCGACTTTGACATTTATTTTGTGGAGTAGATTTATTAAGTGCTACAGAAATCCTTACCCCATACTTTTTCTTGCTCAGTAGGTATGTTGTTCACCCAAAAATGTAAATAGGTACCCATTAGTCAAATAAATAACTGTAGTATAAATGATTTATTAATGCCCAGATTGTTAGCCCCTAATTTCACATCTCATATGTGCGTGCAAGCATCGGTACGTTCTCTAATGGTAAACCGATAGTACAAAAAACTGTGAATTCAGAGTAATTGCCCTGTATGCCGCGATCTAGAGTGTTAAAGAATGAAAGAAAGAAGAATGGAGAAAGCCTTTGATAGTACCTCTACTTCACTTTAATCGTAACCTTTTCTGGAAATGAACAGAAATCCAACAAATCCATAAAAAATTAAATATTGACATAACATTATAATGAAGTAACAATAAATACAAGTAATTACATAAATATACAGAAATCTTCTTGAAACACAAACTAATACTGCCATTTGTGAATAAGAGACATACATTATGCTTATTTCAAGAGCCTGTTGATACGGTGTTAGGTTGACCTCAAGGGGTCAAACTGGTCTGAATGAAAAATGAAATGAAAGAAGAATGACAGGATGTGCTTTGTTAATACTGTGTCCTCTGATTTAACGCTGCCTTGGAATCACTATAGTATTGGTATTGCTCGTCACAAGCAATACCTCTCATTAGTAAATGATGTATGGTAAAAAATGTTCTCACTGCTGTGTTAACAGGCCCTTAAAATAAGGTGTGATGTCAGTACAGACATTTATGACCAGGAGGAGTCAACTGGGAGGGCTGCAGGCAAAAGTTGCTCCTAACCACAGATTCTAGATCAGTTTTGACTGTCCTCAACAGGATGGTGAGTATTAAAAGGTGGGAGTTAACACACACCCTGGATCTGTGTTTAGGACCATCAACTGCACTGGGTAGCCGCAACAACTCAAGCTTAATCTTAGCCAGCCAGAATCCCTCCAGTGCAAGGGAGAGAAAGATACGGCAGGGGGGCAATCATAACAGAGGCTGAGGTAGACACATTAGGTTGGCTCAGAGTGAGAGCTCTGGATACAAAACACTAGTAACTTCCCCTGTGGTCACAGGCATCACGTGTTCAAAGTAAAACATTTTAACAGCCAATTCTCGAACATTATTTCATTATATCTGTAATACACTTTGCATTAAACTGATCAATCTGATCAATCCACTAACTGCTCATGGAAAGATAAAAAGGTACAGGAAAGGCAGTATCAAAAAGCAATGTGCCATAAACACCAAAAATGCGATGGTTCATTTTTGATATTTATATCTCATGTCTCCCTTGTTTGGCCAAAGCACCGCTGCAGTGTAGGTTATCATTGTTTAATGGCTAGTTGAGTTGTGTTGTGTTCCAAATGAGGTATTGTTGAGCATAGCATATTTAGCAACTCCAAGTTCTTACTGTACAAAGAAAACAATAACTAACACAATATAAATACACTCATGTCAAGCATCTTTGGAGCAGAGAGCTTTAAACCTATTGTTTTGGTCACACTAAGGAAATCTGGGTCAAAACCCTCTGCCAAACTGGAATACAATGGCTATTAGTACTAATTACCACAAACCCAGTGAGACATTTTATTTTACAGTGCTAGTTCAGCTGCTGGTGCTGGTGTTTACTACTGTTACTGGACGTTTCAGGGACTTTTGAGTCAACATATTCATGCGTCGTGTCATTTTTGGGGCAACACCACTGTTTGTTTCATAGCAGAGGGTGAATACATAAACTGTAAAATAAAGTGTCTAAATAAGATTAGTAACTTCTCTAAAAAAACACATGTGCCTTGAGACAGATTGAATTCTTGATACAATAGCCATTTCAAAGATGTATATACTACACATATGTATATATAGTACACAGCCCAAATACAGTCCTATGTAAGTTGGTGCTTTTAAAGTTCATAACAGAACATTGATTACATTGTGTAGCACCGTATAATGGAAATTATGGGCCATTCTTTGGATAATAAAAGAAGAAGGCATCATACTGTATATTCCTGATATACAAAAACATTCATCAGTATTTGCATATGAACAAAGATTGGCTAAATGTGCGAATACAAAAAGCTAAGACACAAAATAAACCACTTTAAAAAGTTAATGCTATATACAAAAGATAAAAAGGAAAAAAAATATCTCAATAAATTATCTTAAGAAACAATATTTTACAAAACTAACTTTGATTGTGATACAAAGTGATCCTGAATTTGTTCAAATACTAACACAAGGCTCAACAACAGTTTTATGGTAACTAGGACTGACAAAAATGTTCTTGTGGTCACAGCTGTCACTGAAGTATTTTTGAAAAGGACTTTTTGGCACATTGCAAGAGAGCATATCTTTGCTGTTAAAGCACAACAGATATTTACTTTCCGAATGTCTTGAGGAAACGTTGACCATTCTCAGGCACCAGAGAGGGAGCAGGAAGTGGAGGAGGTTAAAAGTAGAAGAGAAGTGGGAATGTCATTTCTCCAGTGCAAAAGCACCAAAAGTCAGAGCCCATTTAAGACTGGTTGTGAAAGAGTAAGACTAAAAGGTATTGGGAAAACAATGTGAGGTTGAAAAACAAGGAATAGAGTATTTTTTACGGGCGTACCGAGCTCCATGGGTCTGGGCTCCAGTGGGGGCTAGACGGGCACGGCTGAGTATTGCACTGCTCACGATCTGGTGGCTTGTCATGGATCTCGCAGCTCAGATCGTTGAAACGCTCGCCGTTTGGACGCTGACAAACCACCTGTCTTGTCTTTATCCCACCTCCACATGACTTGTCGCACTGAGGGAAGCAGGAGGAGAGGTTGTGTTTTACAGGTAGGTATGGGGAAAAAGGTATTTGAGTGTAAAGTAAAAACTAGGGCCATTGCTGCATGTGATTTACATTCGAAAGCCTTAGCTGAATTTCAATGCATTGGTCAAATTATTTTTCTTTCTTTTTTTTTTTTAACAAAAATGCTGATCCCACAGTTTGAAATGTTTTCTTAAAGCTGGTCCATGATCTTTCAGAGAGTAAACTGTAATCTAACCAATCAGTGAGTTGGCATCTGTCTTACCTCTCCCCAGTTGCCGTAGATCCACTGTGGACAGGGTCCTGACTCACAGGACCGTTGCTCATTGGGCTGGCTGCGATCCTCACAGCTGTTGGCAGGGTAACCGTTCTCATCCTGGCACACGACTACACGCCGCTGGAAACCTCCTGCACATGTGCTGGAGCACTAGTGTACAGAGGGAAGAGTGCACACGGTCAAATCGACGGTTCTCACACACAGATGTGCAGTGTATAGGTGTAAATAGGTCCCAGGGGTTATTCTACTGTACATTATTTACATTTCCTTAAGACATGATGACGCAAAAACACACACTTAAGTATGACTCGTGGCTGCAAAGTATTAAATCAATGTGTCTTTGAATACATGGTTAAATGCAAACAGTACAAATCAATGTGCACTATGAGTTGTGTTTTTGCTGCTAGCAAAGCCCATACTAAGAGACAGGTTATTTTAAACGACTGACCATATCTGCTGCTATATTCAAATACATATCCTCAAGACAGAGGCAGGAAGTGACACCAGAAATAGCTTCACTCACTTCCTAGAATTATTTGTAGGTCAAAAGTTATTTTAGTAGAGAGACAGTTTAAAAAAAACAACAATTGAAATAAAGGGGTTCATATGAGGGACAGCCAGTGTCTCCTGGGTCACGTAATCCCGTGGTGTTACATCACAATAATTAAAAGTCTTGTCTTAAAAGAGACCAGGGCCTAAAAAACAGACTCACACTTCATGAGTGATTGTCAACGTTTTTTTTTTGGCTACATAACACAGTGTAGGAGTTAAATCACTTAAATATCTTCAAGGACTCTTAATCTCACTTATTGTATAATAGCTATCTCATACTTGTCTAATATGTTCACAAAACAAACAGGAAACCATCATGTGAAGAGTTCCCACCAGTCGCGATACCACATAGTGCAAGAAGTATGGCGCTGGCGCTCTTGTTTGAACCACACTCATCTACAAACTCAACCTTTATTCTGATCTCAACTACACGCCTGTCAGGTTTTGTGAAAGCATCTTGCACAGGTGTGACGAGATTTAGGTGAAACAAATCTGTCCACATACTGAAAAACATACAGAAATGTAAACACCTGGCAGTGTATTAGTAGTTCCCACTGCAGTAGGTTTCTCCAAAAGCACTATTTTTGCCATGATGACAAGCACACAGACTCACAAGTTGACATCAATACCAGTGTCCCTGTGGCTCATATTTACTGAACAGACATTACAGTGGTGTGATGTGGTGCTGCTTTGTGGAAGATGCCTTACCGCTCCCCAGGGTCCAGTCCTCCATTGGTGGGATTGGCTGCGGGGCAGGTTGTTCCTGGAGCTGCCATTTGGAGAGGACGGGAAAGGTCGGGACTCACTGGAGCGGGACGGGCATTGAGACATAGCACAGTCCTGCTCTGTAGGAGGACGATCGTCTAGGTCACACTCATTAGAATTCATCTCCTGCTCACTGTAGTTGACACACTGGACCTGCCGTGTGGTCTTCCCCTGGCCACAGGTCACCGAGCACTGAAAGAAGAGAAAATAAGTGCATATGCAATAAGACATAAAAACACATTCTTGAAGAAAACTGTAATTATTAGATGGTGGAGGCAAGTCAAAAAGATCAACCATTTATATCGACCTGCTATTGGTATGAATGGCTTCAAGTGGGCCATCAGACCTGACTGTTTAACCTGCGATTTCAGAGGTTTAACCATATTGGAAGAAAATAAATCGATCACAGGTGCTATAATAACTTTAGGGTTATGATATATTTACCATGTTGAGTATCCTTGTCATCAAGTAAGTAATTGCAAATCTTAAAAATGCCAACACTATGCACGGGCAAAAAACTCAGCTACAACATGTAACAACAGTACAGAAAGCGATGTGTGGTGCTAAAAAGGTCAAAGTTAAGAAAGCCTTTCTCTCTATCTTTCTTTATCCTTTCCAGATATTGAAAGATCTTACAAGAGAAACGAGAAGCACAGATGACACTCAGGGAAATGAAGAGATTCCCCTTCAGGCTCAGCTCCCTTTTCCCTGTGATAGTCCTGAACAGTGCCTGAATGACTGTGCCTGATGCATCCAGCTGACTTTAGATCTCAACAAACTTAAATCCTCTCACTGGGGGGCAGCAACTAACTCCCAATTAATTAAAGAGGTCTGGCGATGCAGTGTCTCCTTAAAGGACCCAAGTTCAGATATATTTATTTTTAGGAAAGAAAAAGGCAGAACTTTATCCAAGCACTAATGCGTGTCACGCAGCTCCTCCCTTGCTGAGTTCACTTTCTGTCTTACATAAGGCGATGTATTATACTTATGCAACAGCTGTCTACTCCAGAATCCCACCTGGGATTACACTGTCCAGAGATTTATACTGCTGCGTCACAATGTAATACCTTTCACATTATTTTAGATACTGCAAGAAGGTTTTACATACAGCAAGTTAAAGTGTATGATCTGATACTAGAGGAAGCTGTGGATGCCTTACTGTTCAAGCCATGAGACCATTAACAAAATGGTCACACTGGAGTGCCACTGCACGACAAATGCTATGGGTTAGTACAACTAGTGTGCATGTGTGTGGCTGGGATAGGCCCCTGATATCATTTTTGGCCTTGGGATGAACTATTTCCATTTGGGGGGGGGGGGTCAATGAGTGTCTTTGGCTTGGTGGTACATGTGTGGGTGTGTATGGTGACCAGACCTGCAGTCTGGCTGTACTGTATCACAAGGACTCTGATGAGAAACATCTGTAAACAAGACTGGAGCCCCTCACTGCAGCCCCTTGCATCTCCCAGCTCCAGAAACGTTTGCCTCACTACACACACACACACACACACACACACACACACACACACACACACACACACACACACACACACACACACACACACACACACACACACACACACACACACACACACACACACACACACACACACACACACACACACACACACACACATAGCGTGTGCAGACAATAATTGTCAGTGTTGTTAAAAAATTATATAGAGGATACTGAAATCAATCAATCTTGCAGGAAGAAAAACATCTGGATTGCAATATTGACAGCACATAATTAATGTTAATCAACAGATGCAGTTCTAATGGAAACAGGAAAAACCCTTTTTAAATGTTGATTAATTTCAAACATTTTTTAAATGCTGATTTCATTTGAAACAACAACATCTGGCTTGTATACTGTACATGTAGGTGCAGCTCTTTTAAGTTGTAATGTTGAGATAAACAGTAACTGGGTCAGATACAGTGGAGTACAGGACGACGGATGTTTTTTCTTACCGCTGTCCATTCCAGCACTTTCCACTGTCCGCAGGCCACTACCGAGCACACTTCTCTGGCAGGGGGTTTTGGGAGGTGGGCGCACGCCGCCTCCTCTGCCACACCACCCTGGTTGTCACGGCAACTCACATAGCGCATACGTGTCCCTTTGCCACAGCTGGCACTACACTGTTTTGCGGAAGAGAAAGGTTAAGAAACTGGAAACCAACAAGAGACAAACAAAATGAAGATGTGACCGGACTACCAACCTGGGTCCAGGAGCCAAATCGCCACTGTGTTTTGTGGCCCTGGTTGGAGGGGACTTTAGTTCCTGGGGGAACAGGGTGGCTGCTGGGACACTGGACCAGTTCACAGTCCTGTGGAAGGGAGGACACATACACCCATTCATGCAGTGATTAACAAAATGAATATACTGTAACAACATCTGTCCCTGACCACAAAATACCATGAATATCAGAGATAGCTCCTCTGACATGGGACAGTCATTATTAACTTAAACTTTATTCCTTTGGCTCTATGTTTCAGTGTAGTTGTGTTCCCATCAATCCTTTCCCCCAACCTCACCAAAATAACATGTACAGGGTCCGCCCCGTCAGTTAAAACTATGGATTGTGGCAGTAAGCCACTCAGCATAAAGCCCTGATCCCTGTCATAACAGGTCATAGTGGAGTGGTATTCAGGGCTCCAATGCCCATGCTGGCGTGGTTGTAAACTCCACCCCTAATCCACTCCCTTGTCTCTTACCTTCCGCCCTTTCCTCTTCCCCCCCAATGCCCTCTGACCCCCAGTCTCTAGGAATGAGGGCCTTAATCAGGTTCATAGGATCTGAGCAGGCTCCACATTCCTCACTCCGCCTCCTGATGGAAGCAAATAGTCCTCATGGCAGCATTTAGATTAGCTCTACGCACACTTCCTGTCAAAGTCACATTTAACATGTATAACCTGGTGTGTGGAAGTACTGAGCAAAGCATCTTTTGCCTCAACCGTTCTCCTCTCTTTATTCAGACCTCCACCCATCCATCTACCCTTCTTTCTCTCTAAGCCCTGCTTGGTGGCTGCCTGGTGGGACTGGCGGCTGGTGGCCCACTTCATGGCTGGCTGGTTGGAATCACAACGAGGTGGGGCGACTGCTTCGGGGTCACTGGCTCTGTCGGCCCAGGCACCGGAATTAAGAGCCGCTGCGACTAGAGGGGGGCCTCATTCTGAGTCTGCATGCTCAGCCCTCTGAAATGGGTTTACGCCCCGCGCTGACCAAACACAACTCTGATTCAGCTCCAAATAGGTTCCTTTGGTGTTTCTGTCTCTCTTTTTGTGAGTCGAGCACTTAACAAACAGATGCACAAGCAGATTTAGAAAAACAATTCCACATGTAAACCTGATGACATCTATGTCTGTATCTGTAAGTGGTGGAGGATAAAGGAGCAATATATTTGTAATTGTGTCATCACTTTTTTTCACACTAGCCTGATTTAGTATTAGTAGTTTATTAAACATTAGTATCCTGTGAAATAGGGTTGTTTCGGCCTGTGGTAAAGTGTCCAGCTCTATTGAAATGAACATACAGGAAAGTTTCAAGCGTACTTATTATACAGAGATAATAATCTATAGTAATCAGAAGAATAACACTGTAAGGTTATCTCAAACAATTTGTTCTTTCTTTTGGGGATTCTGTGTGACAGTTGTGTGTCTCTATGTGGGGATAGTGAGGCTGGTATTACCTCCCCCTTTTTCTCTCCCTCTAGACCAGACTAGATCAGACAACATAGCTTTATTGAGACCAGGTGGAAATGAAATGTGTGTGTCTGCCCGTGTGTGTTTTGAGTGTCAGTGCGCATGAATGTGGATGCTTCCTTCTCTCCACACAGTTTGAGACTAAGCTGTTGCTCTCACAGCGAAGGACAGATAAAGAGATTGTGGGCAGTTGGGAGAAGTGAAAGAAAGATGTTATAGAGGGTAAGAGGATGACAGGAAAGAAAGAGAGAATGCTTTACCTGGGTGTCAGTGGGTCGGGTGGCAGCATTACATTCAGTGTCGTCCATGACAACACCATAAGAGCCAACTACACACTTCACCGCTCGCATCTGGTAGCCTGGCCCACACGAGGTAGTGCACTGGGTTCAAAGAGGGGGAAAAAAGGAGTGGTGGGGAAACATTAGTAACAGAGCGCAAAGAGAAACTTAGGAAGAGGCAAGCAAATAGCACAGAAAAACAAAGATGTTCATCTGAGCCAAGAAACTAATCCCCCACACAAACAAATTCAAAAACGGTACACCAGGCTCAGCAGATAAAAAGGCTTATTCTGCCCTCCACTCTCTGAGAGAAATCCAAGCTTCAAGCGGGGTCTCAAAGATCAAATACATGAGGAACCTTTGCCCATATACATTGCACTTGTCTTTTTTCCACTGTAGCCAAGTCAGAGGGCACTACTCCACGCTCCCTTCTGCCTCACTGCCTCCAGTGAAACAGGGTCAAGCTTGTTTGGCGGCACCTTCAACTACAATTTGACAACGCTTCATTAAACAACTTCAAATATACCTTAACGTGCGCACATCCTCTGATGGGGGGCACAAAAATATCTCACATTTTTGGGTGTTCAGTTCTCTGTGCACACACACAAATGACTCCTGCACACACAGACACTATATATTGTATGCATAACCCTATATAATGCTTTTGTAGAAGAACACGCCTACCCACATCATCCGTAGCGTTTGTATATTTATTTTGGCAGGATGTGCTCTGAATCTAAACAGGCGAGAGAAGAGGGGACAGTGCTAAATGATGAGCTTAGCTTATCCGTGTCCTCCCCTTCGTTTACATCTGGGAATAATTCATCAGAGAAGCAACAGTAATTGTAAGCTTCAGCCGTTGTGCTGCTTCACATTTGCCAGGGTAGACCTCTATATTGCCTGTGTATAAAATATGTGACTATTCATCAAGTTTCTGGAATAGCCTCTTAAAAGTCTTGGGAAAAAAACACCAATTCTTCATTGAGATAATGTTTGTTTATTAGGCCAACTGGCCAATCTGAACGCTAAATTATAATTCCCAGTTTTAGACCAAACAGAGTGATGTTCTTTTCATCTGTTCTGAAATAAACAGTGATCATTTAACTTTACACCAGATCCATATTTAACAACCTTAAACCTTAAACAAGGTGTATGTATAAATAGGACTCACCTGTCCCCAGGGTCCAACCTGCCACGAGGCACACTCCGGTTGCTGGCACGTCTGCACAGACTCCAGTTTAGGTGAGCCACAAAATCGGTCATCTAAACGGTCCTCACCAAACTGACACCAGGTCTGACGGTGCTTATAGCCTTTGCCACACGTCACGAGGCACTGGAATAAAGGAAAATTCAGGTTTTAGAGTGAGAGTATACAGTATGTTATTACATTGAACCTGCTGGAATGCTATTTCATGACAGAGGAAGAGATCACTTGGTGTAGAGGAAAGCAGGATATGCAGATTACAAAACAAATAGTGGTTGGAATGAACCAAAAGACAGGGCCAGAGTGTGTGTTTATGTGTGAGTAGTGTACAGTGCATAAGTATACAGTGCAGTGTAGGTGTTTGTATTTATCAGCACCACATGGGAGATCTAAAATATTCCTGGAATGCAGCACAAAGCTTTGCGAGCGCCTCGCTCTACAATGTGTAAACTGTACAGCAGTTAAGTAGAATCTTAGCCTGCAATCAGCAATTTCCCAACCCTCAATATAGTGGGAGGAGGGGGAGAAACTCCACCAGGGAGGCATGCACGATCAATTTACATTTGACTCAGATCACTGCTGGCTTAAAACTATAGTATTTACATGATTTCTCTTTATATTGAATAAACATGGCCTCCGAAAAAGAAATGACATTCCTCCAGAAAATGTGGATATGCACAAGCTTCCTGTAACTTTACGCTAAGTCATCATTCCTCGAGTTTTCTATGTATTTTGCTATAAATTAAGAACAGTGCATTTGTTTTTAATCTGAACATCAGATTTTGTACTGGGCAGTGAGAACAGAATAGGAGCTGAACTGACCTCAGACCAGTCCGCAGTCTTCCATTGTGGACAGAGGAACTCATTGCAGGGTTGGACGGTCGTCTTGTCCCTTTGACTGCATTTGCTCTCATCCCCTCCAGCCTCGGCAGCTTTCCGACACACTGCCCCGCGGCGGCGGTTGCCTCCACCACAGCTCTTGGAGCACTGCGATACAAGCGTTTGAACATCAACTCGTGTAAACATGCAAACACCACCCGTGATAGACTTTGACAAACATCTAGATTATGCTCACACACACAAACCCTTTTCCCACAACTATTTTACCTCAGACCAAGACGAGTACTCCCAGCCGCCTGGGTTACAGTCTCCATGGCAACCTTCCTTGTCATCAGGTTTTTGCTGACTGCTACAGAAACGGTCATCCACCTTCTGGGTTTTACCATCGTCACGGCTGATTTTGGCACAGTATATTTCCAGGGTACGGTATCCGGGGCCGCACTGAGATGTGCACTCACTCTTACGAGCCACATGCCACCTGCATCGCGGGTGATAGGCAAAATCCTTATCAGTATTGTACAATGATTAAGTGAAAACGAATTCATTGATTGGATCATAATAAAGACTGGCTGAACTGGTCAAACTAACCTGAGTTCACACTCAGTGTTACAGGGCTCAGTGAAGACAGCAGGTCTTGCTGTACCGTGACACCTCTGGTCTGACACCACCGCCCTGTCCGACTCTCTGCTACAGAGGATCTTCCGCTTGCGCTCTCCTATAAAGACATCATGACGCTTGAACAGCAGGTATACTTATATGAACTTATTCCTAAACTCATAATGTTGAAATACTGCACCCATGAGAATATTTGTTTGTGTTACCTCCATCAAAAGAGATATTAAAGAAAATGTTTTTTAGACTTTTGAACACATTTTGCACCATTTGTTTGTTTTTTATCAATGACAAAAACACAAATGAATATGCAAAGCTTATGACTAGAGTTGCAATCAATGATTTAATAACTTCATCATCAGGTGAATCTCCTTCAACTGCCTCACCTCAGCATCTTTACGGTCCTCCATGTAGTTGTCTGAGTCAAAGCAACAGCTTGCTCAAGTACAATTGACAAGATCATAGGATTGCAATGACTACCTGCAGCAATGTTGGTGTGCTTTACCTTGGCCTTTGAGTTGAAATCCCAGCATTTAATCACACTGCACCAACTTTACATGAGTGAGATTTAAACCTCATGTGGCTGCAGGAAATATATTCTCTATCAGTACCATGTTACCAAGTTCTCAGAGCTTTGTGTGCTGCAGACTGCCAGCAAATCTAAAGTAAATTGAAAAATCAAAAGGTGCTGAGGGCAATACATGTTTGCTGTTTATCCTGCTGTGTGAACTCATTGGTTTCTCTTTGGAATTTACTGTTGGTACTTCAAGCAGGGCAGTGTCAAAAAGTGGAAAAAGACATTCTCAGACAAAGTGTTTGAGTTATAACACACAACAGGTTTTCGAGTTTACCTGCGATCCGCCTCTGCACGCCTACACACTCCGACATATCCATGGTCATGTCAAAGAAGGTAATCTGACACAGCACACTACGAGGTTGAACTTTAATCACTTGTTCCAAACCTATATGTCTAGCACGAAGCTGTCAAGTTTAGCCAAACAATCCTCTCTCTCCTATGCCTCCGGCTCAGCAGTTCCCACGTCTGCTCTCTCCGTCTCATCTCTTTTTTACTCTCACCACAAGATTTATCATCGACCACTCGCATCACCTCACTTTGCCAGACCCTTGGTGCCTCCCCCTCACCTTGGCACAGTCGGCTGCACTCCTGCCAGGGCCCATAGGCATCCCAGAAGAACTGCTGAGGTTTGTCTTCTATGGGGATGTTAAAGGAGTACCTGACATCTGGGTTGTAAAGGTTCCCCACAGACAGCACCTGGGGATTAGGCAGGCAATGTGATATGCATTATATTACAGTAGGATTATGAGTTTTAGACATCATACATAGTCCACTCGTTCTTAAGTAAAGGTAAAAACCTTTGAAGGTCAAACCTGTAGAACTATTAAAACTAACATTTTAAGTGGATATAAGGATATAAGGATCATAAGGACATGAGGAGTGGCTGGATAAGGACCATTTACCTGGACAATGATGTCTTCCTCGATGCGCTCAGTACAGTTGATCCTCTCAATGACATGGTCAGAGCCACTGTACTCAATGACGGCATTTCCTACTTTGATTTCCCTTTTGAACATGCTGACCACAAACTCTCCATTAAGCAGGAACTCTGCGCGGCTGTTTGATATGGCTGCAGAGAGAGAGAGAGAGAGAGAAAACACTTGTTTGAGCCCACAGAGACAGATATATATCCTTTATTTAACCAGGTAAAAAGACTCATTGAGATTAAAATCTCTTTTTCAAGAGTGACCTGGCCAAGAAGGGCAGCATGAACAAAGTTACAACAGATAAAACACAGACAAGACAGGCAGACAAATACAGCTGTAAAACACAAATAAAATGGCACATTAGCCAGTCAATATGCGAAATAAAACAAACTATTAAAAATCTTTAAAAACTGGCAAAATTTAAAACGATTTTAAGATATACGAGCACTCACAGAGAGCCAAAATGAGTGGAAATTCGATGTGAAATTCTTATGATGACTTTAAACAAGCTAAAGTAAAAGAAGCAATAGCTTGATTTTGCATTTTACAGAGCACCTTAGCAACACTGTGGATGACATTTTCATTTACAGTAAGGCACATGCAGTAGGCAGCAGTAAAGTCTTATTGGGGTAAAATAATCTTCTATTCCCGGAGAAGTCCCATCCATGGGCATCCTGTTCTGTTCATCAGCAGTCTGCTGCACTCATTCGCCCTAATGCGATTATGGAGCTAATTTCCTGCCTTTACTTTCCTGGCCATTTCACACATTACCCTAATATGACCGTGGAGAGCCGCCCTCATTCCAGCAAAATCGCTTCCAGTTAATGACTGTGCCCACATAAAAACACACATAAAAACACACACAATAAAGGGTGACAACTAAACAAAAACATGTTAATACGTTTACAGGGTGGCATATAGTCATGCATAAAGGGAAATATACAGACATAGAGACAGAATAAAGGATAAAAATATGCAAACATACACTGCACTTACAGTACAGACACACCTTAGTTGACCTTAATGGAATGGTAGCCAGAGGGCTATCTGAGCTCAAGTATTAGCATGCTTGTGCCAACAAGACATGCACACTAATAGCTGACAAAGCAGCCATATCCAGACAGACATATTGTACAGAAAGACAAAAATGTACAGAACCAAAGAACATGAACAGCTGCACACACACACAAAATACAAAGGCCTTAAAGAGGACCCATCATGCAAAATGCACTTTTTGATGTATTTTATACATAAACATGTGTCCCCGGTGTGTCGGGGAACTCACGCAGCGTCAGAAAATAAAACCCTCTCTCTTTTCCTCCGTACCCAAATCTCTAAAAACGGGGCTACAACGGAGCTGATCCAGATTTGCGTCCGATATGACGTAATATCGGAAATGTGGACCCACGGCCTTATCAGAAAGTTGCTATCAGAAACAATGCCCGACTGTTTTGGACGTAATATGGTCGGTGCATGTTTACATTAGCATCGCTAACACTCAGAGCTAACCTGTACTGGAGAGCATGTGTGTGAAGAAGCAGGAAATAAAAAGGAACTCACCTTGTGGTATAACCGGCAAGAGAGAAAGCCTTTGAGCTCCATACTGTTTCAGAAATAATCCTTGATAATCCATGATATGGCGTTTCATAGTATTTAGTTTAGACAGTAGCTGCCGGGTCCCGCATGAGCTCAACCCCCCTCCTTTTTTTTTTTTCCAAAGCTTTATACCCCAAATCAGCACTTTTGAAACAGGAAGTGAAATAGAGGGATATGAGGCATGGCTAGAATGGGTGATCTGTTTGGTATTTTGAGCAAAACACTTCATAGACATGTTTTTTATATATTTTTATATATCTGAGACCTATGCTATTGCCTACAAATAGCATGATAGGTGACCTTTAAAACCAACTGAGCTAGCTGGAATGGTACCCAAGGGCCGAGTTCTGGCTCATTATTGTGTTAGCATGCACACTATACTTGAACTCCTTGGGTTTGCAGTTCATTTACTTAACACCCAAAAGCTGAACATTAATCACAGAGAGCATATTGTTTTAAAAATTGCTAATATTTATGTAAATGTAGAAATACAATGAGAATATGCCAATTTCTTTGAAACAAGGTAATGGAGGTCTTACCGAGGTAGTTGTCATCCTCCGGCTTCCCTGAGTAGCTGTGTTGACGCACATCTACGTTTGTAGCACCACTTGGTATTCGCACAACTTCATTATAGCCTGCAATTATGAGTATTGTGTTTAGATCATTAGTACACTCTAGTTCTCTGCCTATGATACAGACAACTAAGCACATGTAGACATGTGTTAAAGCAACATAAAAAGAGCTGCTGTCTTTTATACTAGCTGAAAGTAAATGAAAGTGTAATAAAAGAGGCTATAGCTCACCATACTGGACAATGTTAAAGGTGCCTGCCACAGTTTTGCAGGAAGAGTTGTCACCTCCGCACACGCCACACTTGTCCCTCCTGGCTTTAGAGTTTAATACATGGTCGCAGCCCGCTTGCTGTTCAGTAAAGAGGTAGAAATGAAGGATATGTATTAAATATAAAATAGGACAATGCCAGGAGTAATGTAAAGGGTTACAGTAGAAAAGAGACAAACAGGGAGAGATAGTGGAAGATAAATTAAGAAAATATGGAGGATATAAGGGAGAAAGTTGAGAGGGATGTGCAGACATTATAGGACAATGCATAAGAAGGCTTAAAGAACAGAAAAGGCAGACTCATTGAAAAAAAAAAAAGCAAGATAAATGGACTTTTACTTGGCCAGTATGTCTTGATGAAATACTGATCGTGTAAGATCAAGTCAAACCCAGGGACCCATAAAATTGTTAAATGAGAAATTGAGTCATGGCCATATCGTTGACACTCATCTGAAAGAAATGTCCACATAAGGAATGACATGAAATTTGCTTCTACATTTTGAAGGCAGATCAAGAGCCGCATGGATAAAATCCACTTACTAAGGCCAGGGAGGCCACTTACTGAACCACAACCTAACCAAAAGACTGTGTGTGGTTACCAGTTTACACAGAGAAACCCACTGATTCTTTCAAGAAGCATATTGCTTTCAAACTAAAACTCTATCTGTCAAAGGTTTGAGGCAATATACACAGTCTGGTTTGGCAAAGTACTGAAATGCTTTTTGAAAAAAGCCTCACCCTGCACAGGCCCTGGACACAGATGTCGTTGGTATCGGGTCCACACGGCGTGCCGTCAATGACCCTGTCCCTGAGCTGGTAGTAGGCCGTGCTGCCTGCCACCCTACAGAACAGCTTGCACCGGTCCTTCATCAGGACTGAAAAAAGAAGCAACAAAGAGACAAAAACACTGAATAATAATGGATTATAACGCCTAACTAACATTATGTGTCTATTATGCAAAAGGGGTTGGCAAAAGAAGCAAACAGGATGCCAGGGACATAAAAAAGGATTCTTACTTCCGCTGTATTTGGGCACCCAGCGAACATTTGGAGGTAGACCGTTAATGTTGAAGTGCCTGCCATCGAAAGCCGCGCATTGTTCCTCCCGGAAGTCCTTCGTCTGCATGGAGCAGGGCTCAGAGTTACAGGAACGAAACTTCATTCGGCGACCCACACAATACAGTCCTCCATTCCTGGGCCTGGAAGCAAGATTAAGAAAGGGATTTTAGGGATGTTTAGTTAAATGTAGTCAATATTTTAAATGGATGCTTACCACTACAGGTCAAACATTCACCTATTCTCCATTTCTCATCACAAACCTAGAGTATGCCGCTGGCATGCTTTTTAGATACAAACTCATTCTCGTCATGCCGTTATTTTTCTATACATCTATTAAACTAAGATGCAAGGCCACACATGGAAACTTGAGTGATCTTTTAATTTTCCAGGAAACAACCCTGTAGGATCTGCTATCAGAGGGCATCAGTTGATGAACACTAGCTATGAAAAGAATTCCTTTAAGGAGGTTTGATCTATGGTACATTGACTTTAGCAGCTAAGATGGAGACAAGGTCCACTAGGCATGCGTGACTACAAAGAGAGGGACTGCTCACACGGGTCGGTTGCATTCGCGCGCAGCAATCTTGATGCCACCTCCGCACGTCCGAGAACAGGTACCGAAAGGGCTCCAAACTCCCCACGCCCCCTCTACAGGTGCAGCGTCATGCTCTTTTGCTATACACAGGCCATGTTTGCAGTGCTGCAACGACAAAGAAATGTATGAAAAAATGAATGAAGAGAGAAAGAATAGGAGCAGAAGGAGTGAATGTGGTTAGCAAGTGGAAGAAAGAAAAAAATACAGAATATGTCCAAGAGGGAGAGAACAGACAGAGTGAGCTTATGAAATTGTATCCATGGAACTGGCAACACATCTATCTGCTCTCCGGTGCTTTGATGCTAATCTGGGAGAAATTATACAGTGAAGTAAATAGAAAAAAAGGAACTGAAAAAGACATTACACGGAAGAGTCTGTCTGGCCAGGAGACAGGAAAATGTCACGCACAAAGTCAATAAATATATCTCAGCTCATAACAGGAGGATAATCTTGCTGTGTTCAACAAACAGACTCCAGATTAAGTGTTTAGTCTGGTGTACTGCATGACATGGGATGAGAGATTGGGGCAAACATGAAAAGGTTTGAAAGGTTGTGTGTGTGTGTGTGTGTGTGTGTGTGTGTGTGTGTGTGTGTGTGTGTGTGTGTGTCCTCTTAGGCCTCCATGTCGCTTTCATGTTCTCTCAGTCTTAGTGGCAGGAAGCCAGGGGTTAGTGAGAAAGTCGTAATTAAAAGCTACACTAAGAGAGTCGACGTGAGCGATACCTCCATCATGTACAACTTCACGCCACACTCTTACATGCCAGCCATGTTTAATTACTAGAGTTTACCATGTGTCCATAATCCATTTTTTCCACGACTCACTGGAAAGGTTGTTACATCAAAATTAAGAAATGTGGTTAGAGTATAAACAGAACCATATGGGTATTTAAATGTAATGTAATGGATACAAATGTGTCTATCCTGTGTTGTCGAAAGATGTTTAACATGTTTTTTATCTTTAGACATGAAAAACTTAAATAAAACGGATTTTGAACTCTTATTTCTTGCTCCTGCCACTTTTCCTACCTTCCCAGGAGAGCATTCAGTGCCGTCTGCCCACGGCATGTGCTGGGTCCTGCAGCCCCGCTGGGCCCCCTCTGGACTGGTGCACCACAGCCTCCTACACTGGGTCTGGGAAATACACAAACACACAGCGTTAACCTTGAGATTCCACATAACAAGTCAGACAATCAGGGAAAGACAGGGCACGTGAATGTCATGCTAATAACCTTACTGTTGAACTCTGTAAAAAGTATGGACTTCATTTGGCACACGTCCACATTTTAACACAACATGCCAGAAGGTGACTCCATACAGTAAGACAACTTACAGTGCTTAAGAGTATCACATTTATTTTGGAGACATTTCTGCAGTATGCATTTCATCAACAAGACCATACTAAAGTATATGGATGGTTTGGTATGATGATTCGAGCCTGATTCTAGGTCCTATATATCAGTTACATTTGTTGTTATTTGTTTGCATCTTAGAACAAACTATCATTAAGTTGTTTTTCAGGGGCGGAGTGGCGCAGCGGGCTGTGCGTTTGATCATCAGATCAAGGGGGCGTTGGGGAACTCCAGTTCGAAACCCGCTCCCGCCGCCACTGCGTCAGGCCGTTGTGTCCTTGGGCAAGACACTTCACCCGAATTTGCTCCTGTGGGTATTGTCCACAGTACATGTATGATACTAATGTGTACTTGTAAAGCGCCTTGATGACTTTGAGGTGTGAAGATGGGCGGTGTGGCGCAGTGGGCTGTGCATTGATCATCAGATCAAGGGGGCGAAACCCGCCGCTGCGTCTGTAAAGCCGTTGTGTCCTTGGGCAAGACACTTCACCTGAATTTGCTCCTGTGGGTATTGTCCACAGTACATGACCATTACATGTATGTATGTGTAATGTGTATCTGTAAAGCGCTTTGGGTCATGGAAAAAGCGCTATAATAAATATAAGGAATTATTATTATTATTTAAACTGCAGCATATGATCAAAACAGAAGACCCAAAGACCCACACGTGCAACATGACAGTTTGGATTTGAACACAGACTTCACCTACCATATATGGGCACACCTGCGTCCCCTGCCCAAATATCAATTCACACTGTTTATTGACATTGTATACCCGTCCAGGCAGCTGCTGCGACAGACTGTACGGTCTAGAAGCGGGCTCGTCCAGCAAGCACTCACCATATCCTGTGCTATTAAGAAATACAAATTAAATGACTTAAAGAAAAAAAGGGAAAAACAAAAGACATAGACAAACAGAGAACACACTCAGTACAGCTGGAGATGTCATTTTTTACTGTACATTTCTCACTTTCTTTACTAGTTTCTGTTTATATTCAGTCAGTTATTTGTAATTGGGGGGATCTCAAGCGTTGGGGACACATGTATAACTTTGGATAGTGTGGGTGGATAGTTTCGCAAAATAGATTTTTGACAGCTGCCAGATACACTTTTTTTACTCTTTCCTACAGTAGGGGTTCCCTGATGTTTCTCTGCAAGAGTCTTTGGAAGCCCTGAGACATGGTGACTGTTTGTTTACATTTAAACCTAGAAATGTGGCTGTTGCTGCCAAAGTTGGGGTAAGAAATGCATACAGTATGCATACACTGCACTCTGTGTGTGTTTGTATGTTTAATGGATGTGTGAAATCTCTGTGATAAAGTTGTACAAACACAGTATTCTAAAAGGGTATTTTGCCAGGGTTTTAAAACACTATTGAAAAACTTCCACACATGCACATCCTATTTGATTCAAGTAATTTAGGAACTTCTCAGCAGAAATGCTAGAAAAAACATCTACAATATCTAACAATCCTGAAGAAAACAGTATGACATACTCAAGGAACTCTGTGATGTACTTCTTGCTACACTTTGACCACATCCAAGGGTTTGTGTTGTAGTTAAGTGTGGGCGCCATCACATGTTGCTGAATCTTAACTCCATCCTCCTTACACTTGTTACTGTCATCATGAGGCATGTTGAACCTAGCACAGAGAAAACAGATACAACATTAAACAAGAGAAATAGATTCCTTCTCCCAGTATTTGGCTGAGATTAACATAACAAAAGCCAGTATTAATGTTGATGACAGCCTACAACTAGGATGTTTCATATCATAAGTATTTTGCAAACCGAAATACACAAGAATCAAATAGAAAAATGTTTGTTTGTGCTTCAGTGCATTTCATTGGTCTGTGCACATGTTTTAAATCTTAACATTGATGATATATTTCCTCTGTCACTATAATGTTGGCTTTGGTAAAACCCATTCATGGTTGCAGCTTAAAATAATACAGAGCATTTGTATTTCCTGATTGCGGGGTGTTTGGAATGCAACCAGCACAATATTGAATTATATGAACATTGGGCAATAGACCAAGCATAATAAGAAAAATCAGAGCAGCATGAGTATAAGAGAACAATCAAGCTCCTGCAGGGTGAGTAAATAGGATCCTGGTTGGCGGTGGACAGGTACAGCAGCGCACTGCCCGTAGCCCTCCCTCTGAGCTACTCAGCCCCCCACCTGACAGGTACCATCTAACACTGAGCTCTGCACTAAGTAGCCGTCAAGCATGTTGTCACCGCTTGATGCGGATAAACGTGGATGTGAACAATCCCACCTTTTGTTTAGTGGTTAGAAGGAGCATTTGTTAGAGGTGATGAGGGCTGTTAAGGGCTGTTAAGGGCTGTTAAGGGCTGTAACAGTCTCCACTGGCTCTGGCTGAATCAGGACGTTGGACAATGCAGAGTTTGCTGAAGGGCAGGTTTCACTACATTTCTGAGAATCTAATTTACCGTCGTTTCTCTTTACCCTCAAAATGAAAGGCAGGTCAAATTTGAAATATAATCAGAAACACACCAACGCATCAGCAAATAATGGGAAAACAAAAAGGAATGCACTGCTGTTTTTGTTCCAAATAAGCAGGACTCCTTGATCCCCATCTGCTGGTTAGCAAGCATCGACTCCTAGAGACTTTTGATGTGTCACTAATGTCTCACTGACGGAAACACTTCCCCTAACTAGGAGCAGTATCACAGTGCTGAAGTTAAACAACCAGTGGACACATGCTGTGCTTACACATGGCCAAGTTCATGGGCGATGGTGAATGCGGTGCTGAGTCCATTGTCCTCACTGATGCTGCAACTCCTGTATGGATCACACACCGTCCCCAACTCTGCCAATCCTTAAAAACGGGACAAAAAAGGAAGCTCACGTCATTTCTGCTCTTTTTCCATCATGATTTATCCACCAGCATCACACAAAAGTAAATCATATAATTGATTATATGGTTTGAAGTCTATGAGCACATTTAAAAACAAAATGCACGTACCTAACGTGTCACACTTGTCTCTTGCTCTGCAGATGTCCTGCCTGTGGTGGATACACAGATAATGGGTAATGGTCAGTGGCACTGCACAAGACAAGAACACTTCCCCAAATTGAATGGGGTCCTTGTCATTTAGGTTCAAATAGTAGTAAATTCATCAGGCCTCTGGAGACAATTAATTCCCTTTCTTTTACGTAAATGATCTCCAAGAATTTGAACTTGGACAATGTGATTTGGTCAATGGGATAAGTGGCTGTCAGCAGCAATTCATTCAATAATTCTATACGTTTCTTGCACCTGGTTATTAGGATGGCAGTGTCATGATGGGAATGATGGTTATCATCCAGGAGGTTCTGGCTCTGCTGCCAAATGCAGAAGTTCTTTAAAGTAGTCTGTGCATTAAATGAAATGACTGGGCCTTCCTGAGAACAAACGGAGAGAAATGATTAAAAGGAATGACAACATTGATCACCACATACTTGATTTAAGTGAGCAAGTACATGGATCCAAACTAATTAGCAGTCTTACCGGCTCGTTGTTTATTATGACTAACTTTACAATCACAATGTTAATGAGGTTGCCAATGCTGGGGTCCTTGTAGATGGAAGATACCTGAAGAAAAGAATAAAACATGAGCTGAATCCTCTGAATGAAAACATTTTCAAGATGAATTTATTTGTGTTATGCGGATCAATATGTAACAATATGTTCCTTCACTTAACCAAGGTGAAATGTGACACAGTATATTAACTGGAAAATCTATCATGGGCTGCCTTCCTGCAGTTTTAAGTAAGTGTCGGGAATTTGGTTGATTGAAAGATCAAGTTGATAATGGCCTGAGCCCCTGTAGAGAAGGCAAGCTTTGCCAAGAAACAGAATATAGGTCATCCTAGCCTCCCCCCCACTGTTGGCCCCAGACGCCTGAGGAAACTGGTATTTGAAGTGGCCGCGAGTATGCGCTCTATGTGACATACCTGAGCTTATTTTTAACATTCATCAAAGCTGTCAGGCCAACTCTACCTCGAGCTGCCCTCTCTTCCTTCTAGCTGTTTGAAAGAGGTGTTTACCCCTGCCCTAGGCTGCCCTTTTCCCCTTCTATGACCCTCCTCCAAAGACCAACTGACTGACTTGCAGCTCAGCAGAACAGGTACATACATTTTGTGCACCACATGTACTTTCTGGCCATAATTGTGCAGATACATAAACACACTTCCATCTCCCAGCCCACTGCCTCCATCAACCAACTAGCAGAAGTATAACTTACTATGGACATTAATGTGAGAATGTAGTGTTGTAGGTTGCTGCCATGATGCTCCACCATTTTGCTGTCGGCCACCAGCATGACTTCAACAAAGCGTGGGTAGGAGAGGAAGCGCTTTGTTCTCTTGTGAGGTCCTGAGTCACCGCTGCTATCATTTGATGGTCTGGCGCTGGAGTTGCCGCTCGCCGATCCGAGCAAAGCACCGCTGGCCACGCCGGCGCTTAGTGACTCCACGTCATTGAACATGCCTCCGCTGACCACCGGGGCTGCATTGGACACATTGGTAACCCCGACCACTGGCCCTCTCTTCAGATTGTGTCTCTTGTGTCTGTGTTTGTGACCTAGAGAGGGAAGCAATGGAGCATTTGTAAATATACAAAGATTGAAGGATGATGGGAAATTCATTCATTCAACAAAAAAAACATACAAGGTATGAATCAATGTGTGTTTACAATAAAGCTTAAGAAGTGAGTTTATGTTTTTAAATGTCAAAATAAATTAGGTCAGTTGGCTGACTGGAAATGTGTATTGTTAAAATACCGCTTTCTCTTTGTTGTTTATTGTCGCTGAAAGAGTTGGTTGACAAATGAACACTGCCTGGAATGCCTTTTTTTCTCTCCTAGTCCTCTTTCAGAAAAGAAGGAAGAGAGAAGGGCAAAGAGTTCAGACTAGGTAAACCTGGCACCCAGCCATAAAAATTGAGCACAAACTGCAAAGCTCAAGCTAAAAGAAGGCAGTTTAACAACTGGGCAGCAAAACCTCTTAACACTAAGGGGAATTAATTCAGATTGTAATCATGGCAGGGCAACAAAACTGCTGAATGCCAGTCTTTTTTTGTTTTCCCATCACATGCAGATCACCCTCTCTGGACCACCAACAATGCATCCCCACCTAAATTACAGTGAACTAGAACTACATCATATTATTGGATCTGCTTTCAGTATACAAGATTTCTGATAAAGGAAGAACAATCTGCTGTACTTCAAAGATCACAAGGTTACAATGGATCTTTGTACAAAGATGAATCATTCTTGGCCAAAAATCTCTCACAGTCAAATTGATGTTCCTTCAGGCTATGATATGATATCACACACACACACACACCCACACCCACCCACACCCACACACACACACACCCACACCCACACCCACCCACACCCACACACACACACACACACACACACACACACACACACACACACACACACACACACACACACACACACACACACACACAACAGACCACAGACCACAGAACAACCAAACATCTGCAGACAGATGTCTAGCAGACAAAGAGAACATATTTATCTGATTTGTTTTCTTAGTTTTGATCATTTGACACGTTTAAGTTGCATGGCTTCTTTACTATAAAGTTTACACTGCATGTTCATGGCAGTGGGTCTACCCAACTTTCTTATCAAAGAGGAGGAGGAAGTACAAGAGTCAACAGGAAGTTCAGCCAGTAAACTGAGATGGAGTGATACAAGGGTGAACTTACAAATGATTTTCCTGTGTGATAGTTGGAAAGCTTCCTCACTACTGTGTAGCAGTGGGTTCTGCACTGAGCAGGCCAATACATGATATGAAAGCCAAGATAGTTTCAATACAATACTTCTACTTAAATACTGTCAATTTGAAAAATGTCCACATCAATTAGAGCATTTCATTAATAAATGGCACAGAAAAGGGGAAACAATATTTCACTATTGAATCATTAAGTATCGTTCCTTTTTCCCCCTAATATTATCAATCGTTTTATGTTTCATTTTTCAAATAATTTATGTTCAAGAACCAGCTCTGCGGAGTCATTTGTTTATTTTCAATCTTGGCCTTCCAAAATGGGCCTAAATATCAACACAAACCAGATATGCTGTGTATGGCTCCTTAGAAACATGTTAAAATGACTGTCATAGCTCAAACAGCTGAGTGTCTATTATATTATTGGTCCCCTGTTGCAACTGATAGCAGAGCCTTTGGGGGAAGCACACAATGATGTCTGAAAGAACCAATTAAAAAGGTCACATTATGTGTGACATACGGACCCACAAAATGGCAAATTCAACTCACAATACACACGTAACACATACAAGCACAAGAAGCAACCACATACACAGTTTTTTGGTTTTTAAATGTAGCACTTGGGAGGTCCATGGTCAGAAACATCAGTGGACTAGTTAGTTAGAAAGGGGACACTGGGTGATAGTTGACTTGAGAAGATATTGAAGACAGCCAATTGGCCATCTCAGTGGTGAGGTCCGAATTAACATTAGTTGCACGTGTGTATCTCTGTTTGAAAGCGCATGTATAGAGGCATTAAGGTATTTGTTTGTGGTGTTTAGAGTTTGTACATTTGTGATAATCTTTTCTGTATACATTGCATGCATGCAAATGCATCATGTAAATCAAATACCTGAAGTGTCACAAGCTGTGTTCTCCCCAGATGGTGGTTCCTTGGGTGCGCTCTTCCTGTATACAATATGAGGTTTTGTGTGTTCCTCTTCATAATGTTCTCCTTGATAGTTGTGTAGGGGCTCCACAAAGTACTCTCCTTCTGGAGACCTGAAAGTGCCAAGCTGGATGGCAGAAAACAAATGCACAACAGTTAGTCTCCATGAGTCTATTTTCTATAAATGCTCATTCCTTTACAGCAGCAACATATGCAAACATGGGGAAAACTTGCAAAGTGAATACAAACAGGACCAAGGGGAATATACCGTATGGTTCAGGAAGATAGTTCTGCAAATCAGTCAGCCGCCATACCACTTTAATGCAATGTATGTTATATGTACAGAAAGTCTTATTGCAAGCAACAGTTGAATGTGGCTCATTTACTCAAAATTAGAGAAAATAAGCAATTCAGAGACCCAAGGGCTTCAATAGATGTATTTTTGCATTCATGTTAGACTGGTCTCAAAGCAGGAGGAAAAGCATAACAGTAAGACCTGTGATGACTATCAGGGAACATAGTGAGACTGTATGTTTTTGGCAGGCTTGCTGAAAGCCCTGTTTTATGTATTTCACCTGGCACGTCTAGTGTGACTGGCTAACGTGGAGGTCTATGATGTTCCAGATAAGGAGCTGCCAACCCAAGCACATTTTGCTCATTGGCAACGGAAAATCATCATGGCAGCCCTGGGGGCTGATACAAGTTTGCCACACACATTTGTAATCCCTGATGGTAATATATACTTTTTTTTAAAGTTCTCACAAGAAAACATTTTCAATTGTCATGCATGTGCAAAATATGTGCTACAGGATGGATTGTTTTTTAGTGAGGGGGAACACTGAAGCTTCCTTTCTGCCTTACATTCCCTTGAGCAGTACACGATTGGCATTACTACATTATGAGAGTTGGTAAGGCCAAACAGAATCTCCCTACAAGCTTCCCTGCAAAAAAAAAAGTATCACATTTTAAGAAGTACAGAATGTGTGGCTATCTGCAGTATTGCCTGAATAAATATGAATGTATGCTCCATAAATGTCAGCTCAAATCCCTAAAGCTCTCTGCAGTGCAGAGCATTCAGAACATATTTTAATTTGATTAGTCATTAGGGAGTACATTAAACCTTTTCTCATATGTATCTAATCTGTCACCTCTGTGGTGCTTTTAGATATAAACTCAGAGTGCACTTTTGCTCCACTCTAAAACGCAAGCCTGGGAGTTCGGACCAATTTGTGATGACGTCGGTACCACCCGTACTCCCGCTGCATTAGCGTGCGTAAAGACGTCACTGACAACCGGGAGACCAGAAAGAGGCATGGGAGTAAGATTTAGAGCTGAGTGTTCATTAAACTTGACTGCAACCAATGGACTTGCGACTCTAGAAAGTTATTAGTTAGTTAGTACAGTTTTGTACTATTTTGAGTTATTTAGACTCTGAAAGCCCCACTAGAGGATCCTGCAACAATCATAAGCTATAACAACTCATGCATTGTCCAATTGTTAAGTAACTCAGCTTTAGCTTCACTTAATTTTGATGAATGTTTACAACTGTTTTTATTGGATATACGCAGTTTTGAACTGTTTCAAAACATATTTGAAAGCAGACTAATGCATGACTGCTTACGTTTGATAGTTGCTCTATCATTTAAAAACAGTTTGCGCACTAAGTTTGCACTAACAATGTCTTTACTTTTTTCTTTCTGAACCAACGTTGAGGCAGGTTTCCAGGTATTGCCATAATGCCCACTAAATAGCCATGGTTGAAAAGTAAAGCACCCGGTGGTAAAGTCATCACATGCACGACGAGTGTAACCGTGCGTAAAAACTCACCAGTCCGGAGCACAAACTGATGACTGCGGCGTGTTCTGCTTCTGCATTTACAAGTCCTTTATAGAAGCAGTGCCTTAACTCCGTGTCCTCCTCTTCCTCCACCTCCCCATCTGCTGCAAAATCCGTTATGTTATCTCCTCGGGGCCCTCCAAATACTGACACAGTGTAGAGAGGTGCGATAAATCCCGAATCCTGCGTGAGGTTGAGGTGATAATGCTGTCCGAAAGCAGATATCCTGTAATGGATATTTGACGAGGCCCACTGATCCGTGGTGTTGCCGGTGCTTTCGTCCAAACTTCGCCTTTTCCTCCTGAAGTGCACACTTGTGGGAAACTTGTCACCGGCTTCATTCACTCGCACCGGTGTTACAATCTCATAAGCGCCAATCTTCTCTTTTGCTGGGGAATAACAAAGCAGTTGAGAATTAAGTAGCAATCCAATAGCATCAGTACAAATCAAAGAGACCGAATATGTATGTAATATGCATATCAATTTTATTTTCCTGGAAAAATCCGTTGTTTCACAGCAATTCAAGGAAATGACACTCAGTAAACTTTAGATATCTAAAGAAAAAGCGCTGCAAGTCATGTGCTTGGCTGAATTCAAACTCATTCATTCTCTGCCTTCAATGTTAGAGAACTACTTTATGAGGGGAAATGCATGGGTAGTCGGAGCGGCATACTTTACCTGTGTTTGAATTCAAAAGCAATTTCCCCGTAGAGGCAACTACATTCAAGAAATCAGGGAAAAGTAGGAACCCCAAGCCCCAGAAGAGCACATGCATGATTGTCCAGGTTCAGAGGAGAGCGGCAGCCTGTATTCCTGTATTAATCCTATATTCCTCCGGTCACTCCGGGCTTTCCGCCTCCGGTCCGCCTGCCACATCCAAGTTTATTATCCTCGACTCTTGAGTAGATGGTCTCTCGCCGGTGAAGTACACTGCTGGGACGTGAGAACTTCGCGGATTCCCTGGCGAACATGCATACTGCAGAGGGGTGGGCTGCTCCGACAGTCACTGCGATGGGATCACTCTCCACTGCAAGCCTGTGCACCAGCTTTCTCCCCAGCGAGGGGCGGGATCAGCTTGGCAAGGTACACTGGGGCTACAGTGAGGCCACTCCCGGTAAATATAGTATACTGTAGTGACGAAAGTGGATACAACAAATGTCCACTTTGGATGGCGGGATATGATCGGTGACTCGGTTGTTAAAAAGTATTTTTAAGCTGCTGTAAACAATTCTAAGTTAACACCAGCTTCTAGAGGGTCCCCACTCTGGGCCAGAGACCATAAGAGACTCAATTAACTGACTTCATTAAGTATATTTATGGGGTGACTATATTGTGAATGTGTTGCACAAATACTGACATTACAGGCATTGGACAAATATCCAAGCCAAAACAAAGATAAAACTTATGTTTAATCAATTTGCAATATTATTCCAACTATCATCAATATATGCCTAAAACTCTTATAAGCACAACATAAGTAACCTTACATAAAGTCAGGAACAAAAATATATAAAATTACATGACAGGTAGGACATCTCTTTTGAGTGAACATCTTTAAGGTGAAAACTAAGACAATTTTGAAAAATGTTATCTTAAATCAAAAGAGCTCCCTTCCTAAATGAAGGATACATAAGTTAATGGAAACATGGTAGAAGTCTGTTTTTTTATTTTTTGTTCCTGTATTATTATTATTATTATTATTATTATTATTATTATTATTATTATTATTATTATTTTTAATTAGGCTCCATTTTACATTTCTCAACTCGATAGGAAAGGTAAGGATGTATTACGATCATCCCTATTCTGGAAATTCACCACACCATTTTTTTGTGAGTGTTTTTGTCGCGATCCATGATAACATCCTATAGTGTCCCATCCCTACCCACGTTCTTTGAATATCTTTGGGTTAATAAGGATTTGAGGGGTGGGCTTTCGCAGTTTGCAAAACAGATCGGTGACAGTGAGGTGGGGCCCATATAGGAAATGCCTGCCCTAGGGCCACAAGCTAGATAATCTGGGCATGGCTGTATACTTAGAAGTTCACGGGATCACAGAGTGACAAAATGCAAACTGGCAAGCAGCGAAGCCATATACAGTAGTGATTTGAGGTCTTAAGTAGGTGCTGGAAAAGGTATTGTGTAGGGATAATGGTAATGGTTTTATGAGCTATAGTCTCCTCAGCAGAACAATGCTACAGGCTGTATGGAAGCCTTTGTAGGTGCCTTTGTTATGTGGAGGATCAAAGAGTGGGGTATCCAGTCTGCCTCCTGCTCCATTCAGGAACCCCCCGAACGGATACACACAGAGAGAGTGACAGAATAAACAGCATGATCTGCTAACTTTTAAACATATTTTTTGAATAGAAATATGCACTAAATAAATAGTATATTAGCTCATCACAGACACATCACTGTTTATGGTGACCAATAAGAAATAGAACAGAAATGGCAGTAATATGTTTGAAGTAGTCTAGCAATAGAGTCACCATTATGTCGTTTGTCCACCCGAGACCACACAATGCCATTTTTAAATGTATGTATCAATATTACATACCAAGACTGGAGATATGATTTAGGTTACCCAATTACTTTCTGGAATATTAGACCTGTTACAAAGCAAAAAAAAACAACAATACAGGTGCAACTAGTATCATTAAAGGTCCCATGACATGGCCATTTCTACTGATCATAATTCCATTGTTGAGGTCTACGAGAATAGATTTACATTGTTCAATGTTCCAAAATCACATTGATTTCTAATACAGCATCTCTGTATGTGTATTCACTCTCTGTCCTAAACGGCTTGTTGGAGCTCCAACGAGGCGTTCTGGGGCAGCATAGACAGGTCTTTTCTGTGTTAGAGTTTTACTCGCTACAGGGTGTACTTTGAGGGTTTGTGACTCTGCAGACCGTTTACATGCATAAAAACCTTCATAACACACAAGGGGACGGGTAATAACCGGAAGAGCATGACATGGGACCTTTAAGAAAGGCTCCATTCCAATTCAGTTATCAGTTATCCTGCACATTAGCTGGACCCTAAAACTGAGAACCTATACGGAATGCAGCCATCAATTATTGTTATTAATGTCACCTGGGCTTTTCCTGTAATTACATGCACCTGCGTAAAACTACATTTGTAACACCTGCTTTCTTAATGAATACTATTCGAGGACACAATTGAAATTACATTTCAGGACTGAAGGATAGTAAAGGATATTTGACACCTTGTGAATATGTTTTTACATAAAAATACAGTCAAGTACAGACACAAATTAGACACCATTTAAGCTCACTCATTAACATAATAACTTTGGTACAACTGAGCTAAAACCTCAAGCTAACCCTAACACGAGCTAGAACCACATCTAGAGAAAAAAATAAGTTATAAAATGTGGATACAAAAATGTTTTAAGTCATGTTTTCAGTTCTAACACCCACAAAACAGATATTTTGGGGACTTATAGAGCATCTTCCAACATGAGACATCACCTTTCTTGACCACTTCAAAGATGAATCCATGTTCAGTTTCGTTTAGTAACAGACAACTTAGCTAGCCAAAGGACAAGGATATTGTATCAAACAATACAAACATGTCAGTCTCTCACTCGTAGGTTGACAGACTTCCAGTAACTCCCCATTATTAACAGGTGTAAACAATTACATACATAACTGACAGAAAAGAGGTGCCGTTGATGTACCCGGATGTAAGAACACAATAGACGTTAAATTGAAGATATCGCGGTATTTTGACTATCGTTCAGCAGTATTGTGGTCAGTGCTGCCTCTCGTGGCCGGAAGCTACATTGCATCAATTTGAAACTACATCATAGGCCCATAATACATGAACCATAATTCATTATAAAAAAATAAGTGTCCTGATTTTGTTTGGCTTATTTTTATGTACTATTACATTTATATGTTCGCATTAAAACAAGCTTCTAATTGTGTTCATATATATTATTAAAAACATGTTTTTATATTTGTCAGTTTTAATCTTTAAAAGATATCTCAACTGTAAAACTGACATCACCCCCCCAGGAAAGACTATATAACTTGGACATTTGTACATGAACATCACCAGCAACTCTGTTCTGAGTTAGACTCAGATGGCCTCCATGTCGTCACTCCACTCGAAGCCACATCACTTCAGGCGTCTGTTGATTTTTCCCTAAAAGACCGTTAAAAAAAAAAGGGACAATTAAGTATTCCCATATGATTCATGCTAAGCAAAAACAGGCAAAAAGCTCTGTCGCCTCTGTCACTATGGTCATTCAATGTGCAGGCTTGTGGTGTTGGAAAGAGTCATAATCATTTTTTTGCGAGAAGATCATTTCAATACATTTCACACCAAGTCTTATAATCATGACTTTTTATGTTCCCAAAACCAAAATCAGCAAACTAAACATCCATGGGCCACCCTGCAATTTACACCAGTTAGCACTTATAATCCAGTGTGATGGAACTAATTAGGCGTGACCTTACGGTTTTTGAAATGTCAACATTTGAGATCAGCATGCGAACTGCACACAGTTCTCTGGAAAGCCCATGTGAACACTTAAAGGAAATCCCAAATTTGCTAACTTTTGCACAGGAGCTGGTTTTCTTCCTATACAATGTAGGTTCTTCTTGTTATTTTGAAAACGCTTCCTCAGGGAAGAACTAAAACATCAACATGGGCAGCTGTAGGTCAATAACCTTAAACACAACCTTTCATTCACAATTAGTCCCCTTTCCCAGAACCGTCCACAAAACATATTTACAGCACAGGGGTGACAGGTAAGTAAAAACAGTTGGGAGTAATTGCCCTTTGGCAGTGTTTTGATGTGCAGTGACTAAAACTAAGTGGACTGTAAACTCTTGAATGTGTTGTCAAGTCACTGTATAGTTGTTACACACACCCTTCATTTCAAACTAAGAATAACTATATCGAGTTTCTCAATGAATAGCCATTAGACCCCAGCCAGTACCGACATGTGGCAATGAAAATGTTTTAAAAAGAAACTCCTCTGTCTTTAACTTGGGCGTGTGGCCCCCATCGTCAGTGAACTGACCTTTTTCCATGTTACTCAATGGAGCAGTCACTACAGCTGTGTTTGTGTGTGCGTGCGTGCGTGCGTGCGTGCGTGTGTGTGTGTGTTCTCAATGGATGTTCATTGAGGTCATCAGACTCACCCTGAGTTGTGCGCAGGCAGCATCATTCAGAGCCGCTATCAGCAGTGTAAACTTCACTTCCCCTCCAGATCAGATTGTCGGCCGTTAGGGAGCGGAAAGCTTGAATGAAGTAGCAAAGCCTGGCCTGGGATTTAAAAGAGATACAATTTAATTGTGGAGCTTTCAAAATCTCGTTTTACTCTCCCTCAGCCCCCACCCTGTCAGACTTTCTTGGCCCAGTGAACTTGTCTTCATTACAAAGCAATATCTATGTGTGGTGAATTGAAAGTGTGCTAGCGGTTTATAATGTACAGACCATTGAGCCACAAGTTATTCATAATTGAAAGAAGAAGTTACATCTTAATCACACGCAAATGACAAGCTGGCTGCTCTGTAAGGCACAGCGGTACATTAGGGTAAATGCTGACAACATTACAATGTTTACCATCTTAGTTTAACGAGTTAAAAAAAAATTCTAGACTAGCTGGGGCTGTCAGTTATTTTAAGCAGATTGTAGGCACTTTCCTGAGGGGTAAATCAATTGTTGCACCAAATGTCATCATGGTATTCGTTAGTTGTCGATTTCCTACAAATATCAACCTTAAGGTCATGTTAGAACAAAACTAGACCTTAAAATCCAGTGGAATGCATCCTTCTTGGAAAATGGATGTATGTACAAAAATGTAAATGCTAGTAAAAACATGATTACATTGTGTGTGTGTGTGTGTGTGTGTGTGTGTGTGTGTGTGTGTGTGTGTGTGTGTGTGTGTGTGTGTGTGTGTGTGTGTGTGTGTGTGTGTGTGTGTGTGTGTGTGTGTGTGTGTGTGT